CCACACCTCCAGCCTCCAGCCTGGCACCTGCCTCATCCTGCCCCTTCCCTTCTGATCCAGTAAGTGATCTATTTGAAGCCCAACTCTGTGTCCTAATCTCATAATGACGGTTTTCAATCCTGCAAAGTATTGTTTGCTTAAAAATTAAAAGAGGAAAATATTAAAGGACACATAGAGAGATAGAGAACCTCCCTCACCTCCCAGGGGGAAAATGGGGCAACTGGCAGGTGGGGTAGGAAGAAGACCCCCCCCCCGACCCTGCGTACTTTATTTATTTATTTATTTATTCCATTTATTTTTATTAGTTGGAGGCTAATTACTTTACATCATTGCAGTGGTTTTTGTCATACATTGAAATGAATTAGCCATGGATTTACATGTATTCCCCATCCCGCTCCCCCCTCCCACCTCCCTCTCCACCCGATCCCTCTGGGTCTTCCCAGTGCACCAGGCCCGAGCACTTGTCTCATGCACCCAACCTGGGCTGGTGATCTGTTTCACCCTAGATAATATACATGTTTCGATGCTGTTCTCTTGAAACATCCCACCCTCGCCTTCTCCCAGAGTCCACAAGTCTGTTCTATACATCTGAGTCTCTTTTTCTGTTTTGCATATAGGGTTATCATTACCATCTTTCTAAAGTCCATATATATGTGTTAGTATACTTTAATGGTCTTTATCTTTCTGGCTTACTTCGCTCTGTATAATGGGCTCCAGTTTCATCCATCTCATTAGAACTGATTCAAATGAATTCTTTTTAATGGCTGAGTAGTATTCCATGGTGTATATGTACCACAGCTTCCTCATCCATTCGACTGCTGATGGGCATCTAGGTTGCTTCCATGTCCTGGCTATTATAAACAGTGCTGCGATGAACATTGGGGTGCACGTGTCTCTTTCAGATCTGGTTTCCTCGGTGTGTATGCCCAGAAGTGGGATTGCTGGGTCATATGGCAGTTCTATTTCCAGCTTTTAAAGAAATCTCCACACTGTTTTCCATAGTGGCTGTACTAATTTGCATTCCCACCAACAGTGTAAGAGGGTTCCCTTTTCTCCATACCCTCTCCAGCATTTATTGCTTGTAGACTTTTGGATAGCAGCCATCCTGACTGGCGTATAATGGTACCTCATTGTGGTTTTGATTTGCATTTCTCTGATAATGAGTGATGTTGAGCATCTTTTCATGTGTTTGTTAGCCATCTGTATGTCTTCCTTGGAGAAATGTCTGTTCAGTTCTTTGGCCCATTTTTTGATTGGGTCATTTATTTTTCTGGAGTTGAGCTGGAGGAGTTGCTTGTATATTTTTGAGATTAATCCTTTGTCTGTTGCTTTGTTTGCTATTATTTTCTCCCAATCTGAGGGCTGTCTTTTCACCTTGCTTATAGTTTCCTTTGTTGTGCAAAAGCTTTTAAGTTTCATTAGGTCCCATTTGTTTATTTTTGCTTTTATTTCTAAAATTCTGGGATGTGGGTCATAGAGGATCCTGCTGTGATTTATGTCGGAGAGTGTTTTGCCTATGTTCTCCTCTAGGAGTTTTATAGTTTCTGGTCTTACATTTAGATCTTTAATCCATTTTGAGTTTATTTTTGTGTATGGTGTTAGAAAGTGTTCTAGTTTCATTCTTTTACAGGTGGTTGACCAGTTTTCCCAGCACCACTTGTCAAAGAGGTTGTCTTTTTTCCATTGTATATCCTTGCCTCCTTTGTCGAAGATAAGGTGACCATAGGTTCGTGGATTTATCTCTGGGCTTTCTATTCTGTTCCATTGATCTATATTTCTGTCTTTGTGCCAGTACCATACTGTCTTGATGACTGTGGCTTTGTAGTATAGTCTGAAGTCAGGCAGGTTGATTCCTCCAGTTCCTGCATACTTTTTGAATTATGCAAACATACTACCTGTTCAAAAAATAAAATGTTTTAAAAAGTACCAAGTTAGAGAACTACTTTTGGCTGCTGGTGGAGGTCTGAGGATGCTTAATGAATAAACAACTAAATGAACGAGTGAGAGATCTGGGGAGGGGCTCCGACTTATTTTCATTTTTATTTATTTGTTTTTGGCTGCCCTGGGCCTTCGCTGTTGCTCACGGGCTTTCTCTAGTTGTGGTGAGCCGGGGATGCTCTTCGTTATGGTGCTGGGGATTCTTGCTGCGGTGGCTTCTCCTGCTGTGGAGCACCAGCTTTAGGTGCGTGGGTTCCAGTGGTTGCCGCTCAAGGGCTCCAGGGTGTGGTGGGTCCCCCAACTGTCGCTGAGAGATGTCGAGGGGAATTATACTGACGTCTACCCCACACTCACTTTGGCCACTTGAGGAGCCTGAGTGAGGCTGAGAGATCTAGGTTCTTCAAGTCTGCCTGAGGGTCGTAGAGGGTAGTGATATCAAGAAGTTTCTGGAACTCTCTCTGGGTCTGGATGGGAGATCATCTTGGGCGAGGCCTGTAAATAATCTTTTGTAGCAGGACCGTCTGTAACGCGTGGCCCTGTCCCCCGGCCCTTTGATGGGTACACGTGATACACGCCGAGCCTGGTGTCCAGTCTCTCTCCTCCTCCCAAGCCCACCGTGTTCCCCCTCATTCTGGAAAGAACATCTAGATGGGAGGGAGAATTCCAGTATATAGAAATAGACTCAGATCTGGGTTTCTTTTCCTTTCTTTTTTAACATGGACCATTTTTAAAGTCTTTATTGAATTTGTTACAATTGTGCCTCTGTTGGGAAGCAGTGGGATCTTAGCTCCCCAACCAGGGATGGAACCCAAACTCGAACACCCTCATTAGGAGGTGAAGTCTCAGCCCTGGACCACCTAGGAAGTTCCCCTAGATCTGTTCTTATTCTTGCAAAAAGGCAGGTCACACAGATTCCGGAAGCCTGTGCTGAGTCACAAACCACATGTTACACACATGCTGGCCCCTGCCCCCAATTCTCTGGTCTGGATATGTGGCTGAGAACCTGGCCCTGCAGGCCCCTGAGGTCAAGTTCCTACCATGCTCAGTAGGGTTCAGGCCCCAGGCTGTTTCTGGCTCAAAGCATGATCAGCTGCTAGTCTGAGCAGAGATGTAGAGCTCGGGCCAAAAGGAAGGGCAAGAAGGAAGAGCAGATTGCTGAGGGCAGCTAACATTTCTTGAAGCAAAAAGCAATGCAGACAAGCTCGGCCTCACACAGAAGTGTGAGGAAGGAAAGCAGTTAAAAACAGCCGTTAAAAACAGTCACGGACTTCCCTTGTGGTGCCAATGCAGGGGACACAGGTTCGATCCCTGGTCCGGGAAGATCCCATATACCCAGGGTCACCTAAGCCCGTGTGTCATGACTACTGAAGCCCGCATACCCTAGAGCCTGTGCTCGGGAACAAGAGAAGCCACCCTCAAGAAAGTCCGTGAGCTGCCAAAAAGTAATAATTAAATTAAAAACAAAACAACAACAACAAAAGCCCAGTTGCTTTTTTCCAGTTACAGAACCGTGAGGCTCAAAATACACTTGCAAGCCTTGGGCAGAGGCAGGCTGGCCTCTGAGGAGGCCCTGCCAGATCCTGGCAACTGCTCCTTTGTGAACCAACTGTTTGGTCCTTTTTTTTTTTTTTTTTTAAATAATTGATTATGTTTTACTTTTTAAAAAATTATTTTTTATTTATTTGACTGTGCCGTATGGCATTTAGGGATCCGTGACTACACCCATGGCCCCTGCCCTGGGAGCCTGCAGCCTTAATCACTGGACCACCAGGGAAGTTCCCTGCTCTGCTGTGTTTATGGTGCTCACAGTGACTGGCATTGGGACGCCCTTCACATCCTCAAGGAAATAGGCAGGTGGCATCTTCAATAAAATTAGCAAACTCTTCTGGCTTTTGGATAAAATATTGGAAGAGGCTGAAGTTGGGTGTGTTAATTTGCATATATCTGCATGAGGAACACTTTGGCGCCTCTTTTATATTCAGAATGACTGCTCTTCTTGGCGTCACCGAGCTGCTGCAGCTGCTGGCTACCAGCTTCAGAGACTCCCAAGTAGGGTCATGCCAAAGAGTCACCCCTAGGAAGAAGTTAACTCTACCCTGGGTGCCACCTTCAGGGACGGTTCAGAAGATGGCCTTTCTTCCTCCCGAGACTCCCCTCACTGCGGGGGGCTCAGGATGCAAAGCAGTGTCATGAAGGTGCAGAGGTTTCCACGATGAACACTCACGAAATAATTGCCATCAGATGCCTGGAGCTTTGCCTACGGTGCGTCCAGTCCTCCAGCGACCCTCTCAGACTTGCTGGCCTCCCGCCCCCAAATGCTTTGCAGCATCATGCTGAGTGGATGCAGTTGCTTTTTTTAAAAAAGATTATTTATTTGGTTGCATCGGGTCTTAGGGGCTTCCCAGGTGGCGCTAGTGGTAAAGAACCTGCCTGCCAGTGCAGGAGACAAGAGATGCGGGTTCCATTGCTGAGTCGGGAAGATCCCCTGGAAGAGGGCATGGCGACCCACTCCAGTATTCTTGCCTGGAGTATCCTACGGACAGAGAAGCCTTGCGGGCTACAGTCCATGGAGTCGCAAAGAGTCAGTATGGACCAACGAATTGACGTAGCACGCTCACGCACGCACGCACACGCGCGCCAGGTCTTAGCTGCGGCACCCAGCCGCAGGATCTTTCTCTGTGGCTCACTGGCTCTTCACTGCAGCACACGGGCTTCTCTGGTTGTGCTGCGGACTCTTGAGTGTGCAGACTCAGTAGTTGTGGTACACTGGGCTTAGCTGCCTCCAGGCATGTGGGATCTTGGTTCCCCAACCAGAGATCGAACCCGTGTCCCCGGCATTGGCAGGCAGATTCTTAACCACCGGACCACCAGGGAAGTCCCAGGATGGGGTTGCTGTCCTAGATCCCCGAGAGCTGATGGTCAAGGCCGATGAGCTGGGGGTGGAAGGCAGAAGGCCCTGGGAAGGCAGGGGCTGGGGAAGGAGTGTCTTTTCAAGACTCCAAATGTCCAGCTTTGCTTGCCTGTGATGTGGACCCTGCCCCGCTTCTGGCTCCCTCCTCCAGGTATGCACGTCCTTCACTGCGGAGTACGCCAAGTATGGACATGTGAAGATGCACCACGGCTACACCAACGTGCTGGGCCTGGGGGACTCAAGCACGTGGAGGCTGCCTTGCCTCAACCGCTACGTCTACATGTTCCTCGCTCCTTTCTTGATCCCCATCATAACCCCGCTGGTGGCTGTGGGTGAGTAAGCCGGGGCTGTGCCCTGCAAAGACCTGGTCCCCCCACCCCCACCCCCCCTTCCCTTCCCCCCTCTCCTGGCTTCGTGGAGGCTTCATGAAGGAAGCGAGGAGCCCTGGGTTGAGACCAGACAGAAACGTTTTGAGACACCCAAGCAGGGTGGACAGAACTTTGGAGCTGGGGCCAAGTCTGCGTCTGCCGGTTACTGGGGGGTGATGACCACAGGCAGGTAGCTTAACGTCTCTGAACTTCAGGTTCTTACCTGCTCCTCAAGGATGGTGCGAAAGCATAACGAGGTCATAGATGATGTAACAGTGTTTTGTAAAGGCCTCCCTCTGTTGTATGTTATAATTGTTAGTCTCATAGGGGCAATATCGTTAGGTGGAAGGAGCAGGGCCCTAAGGGTCTAAGGGCTCAAGCCACATGCCATCACTTACTATTAGTATCAGACTGACCTCGTTCAGGTTGCTTAATGCTCTGTTTTCTATTCTAAAAATGGGTGAAAGAAAAAAAAAAGGGAATTCCTTGGTGGTCCAGTGGTTAGGACTTGGCACTTTCACTACTGGGGCCTGGGTTTGATCCCTGGTTGGGGAACTAAGATCCTGCGAGCCACACAGGGCAGCCAAAGGGGGAAAGAAAAGAGAATGAACCTACTTTTCAGGGCTGTCACTACCTCGGTCACCCGAGTTTGCACCACTCAGCCACCAGGGAGCCTGCATATGTTGGATGGGAACCTTGCCAACCCCCTCTCCCCCAATCTCTCGCCCGTTCTGGCAGAGCGGCTGAGAGAGGTGGAGCTCAGGACGGCCCTGCGGACTCTGGGCCTGATCTCCCTGGGCCTTTATTCTCAATACTGGCTGCTCCTGAACATGTCTGGCTTCCGGAGCCCCGGCTCGGCCCTGGCCTGCATGCTCATCACCAGGTCCCTGCTGGCCCACCCTTATCTCCACGTCAACATCTTCCAGGTGAGGCCCACTGGGGAGGGGGGCGTGGGGACCAGCCTCCGGGGTGCCTGGCCGCAGCTGGACTCTAGATTCTAGGGAGAGAGAGGCCACCAGGTGACGTACCTCCCTACCCTTAGCCTCTGCCCTTCTCCCTGAGGGTTATCACAGAGGGTTTTGGTCTCAGGTAAGGAGTTTACTTCCCTTCAACACTGGCTGCCATTTGAGCATGAATGGGAGATTTATTAAGCAGCTTCTGTGCAAAGGTGGCACTAGTGGGAAAGAACCCACCTGCCAATGCAGGAGACGTAAGAGACCCGGGTTCGGTCCCTGCGTTGGGAAGATCCCCTGGAGGAGAGCATGGCAATCTGTCCCAGTACTCTTGCCTGGAGAATCCCATAGACAGAGGTGCCTGGTGGGCTACAGTCCATAGGGGTGCGAAGAGTCAGACAGGACTGAAGTGACCTTGCACGCACATGTGCAGAGTTTACTTGATTAAGCTCTTTAGGGACACAAGTGAATAGGACCCCAGCTCCGAGCCTCGGCTCTTACTGTGATGAGCCCGAGGGAAGTGAAACAAGGGCCATCACAGAGATCCCAGCGGGCATGTGTCTAGGTAAAATGCTGGGGGAGCTGGAGATGGGAGGTCTTTGTGGGAGGCCGGCAGCTCAGCGCTCAGTTCTGGGGCTACTTCCATGGGGATGGTCCCCTCCCTGCTCCCTGGACCAGTGAGGATCCCAACCTAGCACTTACCACACAGCCATTAATGACTTAATCCCAGGATGCAGTCCCATAGTTGTGTTCCCTCCGCTTGTTCTGTGAGACCGGAAGTTCCCATTCACTTCCACATCCTCTAGACTGAGGACAGCGCTTTGCAGAGGAGGCGTTTCTTGAACCATGAGCAGGACTGGTTGTTGAAACGAGAGCAGAGCAGGGTCTGTTCGGGACGAAGGGGAGGCACAGGGACGTGAGGGACAGCGCGGGGCAGCCGAGGGCGCGGAGGACCACTGGGCCAGAGGGCATCCCGGCTCCCACTCGCTGCGCTGACGCGGAGCGGCCCAGCGATGGGCGGGGCTCAGCCCAGGGCAGACAGGGTCCTGACGGGGCGGGAGGTGAGACGGACAGAAGGGCGCACGGGGCCCCGGGTGCCGGCTGAGGGCGCCGGGGCGGGGTGGGGACACACGGGTCTGACCCTCCTGTCTGTCTCAGCACATCGGGCTGCCCATGTTCTCCCCCGACAAGAAGCCCCGACGGATCCACATGATGAGCCTGGGGGTGCTTAACCTGCCCCGGTTGCCCGTGCTGGACTGGGCGTTCGGCCACTCTCTCATCAGCTGCCACGTGGAACACCACCTCTTCCCCAGGCTCTCCGACAACATGTGCCTGAAGGTAGATGAGGGTGGGGCTGGAGGGGCTTGGATGAGGGAGCTGCCTGAGGGTGGAGGGGGAGTCCCCTTCAGGGCCCTCTGACCAACTGACCTGGCCAGAATTTCCCAGGAAGGGGCCACTCGGGGAACAAGCAGCAGTGTGGCTTTTGGTCAGAAACACTTGGGTTTCTGACCCGGCAGTGTGACTCTGGACAAGTTAACTGGATACCTCTGAGCCTCAGCTTCCACATCTGTAAAATGGGACTAAGCCGTGCCTGGGCTTCCCTGGTGCCTCAGACAGTAAAGAATCCGCCTGCAATGCAGGAAACCTGGGTTCAATCCCAGGGTTGGAAAGATCCCCTGGAGAAGGGAATGGCTACTCACTCCAGTATTCTTGTCTGGAGAATCCCATGGACAGAGGAGCCTGGCGGGCTGCAGTCCATGGAGTTGCAAAGAGTCAGACACGTTGCTTACGTTGACAGGTTTTGAAGATAATGGAGAAATGGACCTGAAATGTCAGGCACCTGTATGGTTGGTGAAAGGGAGAGATGGCGTTTATCCCCCTATGCTAAGGAGGACTGTCAGATAGTCAGGATCCCCGGAGAAGAATGCTGGGGATGAAATCTCCCCTTTCCCTTGCCTGCTGGAAACGCGGGAGTTCTCCCAGCCCCTCAGCTCCTCCCCAGCATCACGGGACCAAGCAGACGGGAGCTGGGGGCTGGGAAAGCCCCCATGAGGATGCGCCCACCTGCAGTGTCTCCTCCCGCCCACCTTCTGGCAGGTGAAGCCCGTGGTGTCCCGGTTCCTCCATGAGAAGCAGCTGCCATACAACGAGGACTCCTACCTGGCTCGCTTCCGGCTGTTTCTCCAACGCTACGAGGAATTCATGGTGCAGACCCCCCCCATCACAGAGCTGGTGGGGCTGCAGTGAGGGGCGGGCCAGCCCGGCCACCCCGCTATCCTTCCCGGGGGCCCAGCCCTGGTGCTCCTGCCTCTGCTGGCCACCCCTGGGGCGGGGAGGGCGCCGGCCGCCACCCAGGGGCTGTGCTTCGCTCCACCAGAGTGCGGAGGCGCGGGTGGATAGTGAGGCAGGGAGCTCACGCCGGGGGTTCCGGGGGTCACCTGCTCTGCTTGCTTTTCTGGGTTTCGAGGAATAAAGGTGGCTGGGCATTCTGCTCAGTCTGGACCTCAGCCAGCTTCATCTCAGGACCAAACAGCTGGATTCCTTCTTGCTTTCGCTCTGAGCCTTGGGAGGGCTAGTGGACACGGGTATGGAGAGGCTCTAGGTTGGGGGCAGGCCGGGAGGGGCACCAAGAGAGAGGGGTCCACCTGCCCCCTGGCGAGGGCCTCCCTGGGGCCAGGGAGCTCTGGACTTGGCCACTCCTCCTTCATGTGCTGTTTGAGGTTCCGGCCCCAAAGGAGCCCTCTCCCCGGGGACCACAGGGAGAGGTTACCTCCGGCAGACTTTCCTAGTATCTCAGCCAGGAAGCCTGTGCAAGACCCTGGGCTCAGCAGCTCCCAAGACCCACAGCATCTGTGAGATCAAAGTGTGTGTTTTGTGGGGAAGGCTCCAGGGCAGATGAGGATAGCAAGGGGGTAAGTAGCCTTGAGCGGGACCTTGGCTAGTTCTCCATGTCAGCTTTGCTTGTGATGTTTGCAAGGGGTGGAGGAATTCTCAACTGGGAGAGATAGAAAATGACTGGGAGGGTAGCTGAGGCTGGAGAGGGGTTATGGGAACAGGCGCTGGAGGTCAGATGGCCTTGGAGAGGAGAGGAAGGAGGGGGAGAGGGATGGGGTTCAGACACAAGAGCTGCGAGTCAAGGGCTACGCTTGGCTGTGAAAGGAATGTCTGCAGTCTGGGAGTGAGGTGGAGATATAAGGGAGTGACTGATGCCAGCCAGAACAAGAGCCTAGGTAGTGGGGACGCCACTGAGATCCAGCTCAGAGCTGGCGGCCTGGAGAGAGAGAGGCGGGAGCAGAGCTGCCTGGAGGCTGGATGAGAAGGTGGGAGGCAGGGCCCAGCTGGAGGCTGGGGGAGAGTCAGAGAAGGAGGCTGGGCCTCTGATAGGAGGCCAGAGCAGTTAAGTTTAAAACAAGTTTCTCACTTTGGCAGTGATGCTTTAGCCAGCTAATTCTTTGTCACTGGGGACTGTCCTGTGCATTGTAGGGTGTTTAGTCGCATCTCTAGCTTCTATCTACTAGGATGCCAAGTTGTGACAATCAAAAACGTCTCCAGATATTGCCAAATGTCTCCTGGTTGGGGGGCAGGTGGCAAAAACCCTCTCTGGTTGAGGACACACAAGTCAGTCCTAAGTGCATTATCACCTTGTTTTTCAGTGAAGTCCTTGGACGAGGTGAAGGGCATGCTGATCCTGATAAAGGGAAGGCTGAATGCCAGCACGTGGGGTGGGTGGAGGGGAGAGGGGCAGGTGAAGGCGTTCTCTGAGCCTGGTCCCGTGAGAGCACCGGTCTCTGGTGTGGCCTTAGGCGGTTCTGCTGAGTAGCTCCCACTTGCCTGGCCAGGTCCATTCCCCTCTCCTCCACTCTGCCCTTCTCTCTGGAAGCCCACAGCTCCTGGCCAGTGCCCTCTCCTCCTGCTGCAGCTCTTGCTTCTTCCGGAATAGCTCCTTCTTTTTGCTCCCTCAGGGCCTAGGGTGAAAGTGTCTTCCAGCTGTTGATTGTCCCCTCCATGGGTGGGGTGGGGGGGCTTCAGCACATCCTTCATCCTGCCACACCTCTGCACAAAGTTTCTTCATTAAACTCTCTTCAATCAGCCCCTCTGAGCATGCCATCTGGTTCCTGCTGGGAGGCTGACTGATAGAGCAGTTTTGGATCCAAGCAGCCCTCTTGGAAGGAGGCAGGCTTGGCAGCCTCCTCCGCCTACTGCTCTGCTATATGTTATTGATGCTCTTGTGAAATGCATTAGCAACTCAGAAATGGCCTTAAGGTCTAGGAATGTGATTAATCAAACTGCTAATTCTCCACATGAAAAATGCAACATCAGAAAAGGCCCCTTGCACCTCCAGGCCTCCTGGCTAATGATTAAAACCATCCTAATACAACCAGTGACTCAGTGTTATTGATCTGGGCCTGAGTGGGGAACAGGCTGAAGTTGGAGGCCCTGGTACCAGACCTGGCTACACAGCAGGCCCCTAAGAACGCTCTGTCACTTTGAGGCTTAATTATCTGTTACTCTGGGATTGTGACTGGGATTGACTGGGCCTTGAGAAATGAGAGATGACAAGAGTGAAGGAAGCCCTTTGAGGGCTCTGCAGAGACCTAAGGTCTAATTTACAGAGACATACTGGAGGGGATAATACTTATGATGATGTTAGCTGTCATCAATTCAGAACTTATGGCACATTTTTAACCTGTGCTGTCTAACTTAAAAATTATTTATTAGGCTTTGCTGGGTCTTAGTTGCAGCATGTGAGATCTAGTTTCCTGACTAGGGATCAAACCCTGGCCCCTGCATTGGGAGCTCAGAGTCTTAGCCACTGGACCACCAGAGAAGTTCCTATGCTATCTAACTTTAATCTTTACAAGAAATTGTTACTATTTCCCCCTCATATTGTGAAGATAAGCCTTAGAGAGATTAAACTTATCAATGTCATATAGCTTGTACGTGGAGGAAGAAAGATTCAAACCTGGTGTGTCCAACTCCAGAATTCCTGCTCTTAACCACCAGAGATACCACCTCTGGGTAGGGAGCAGTCTAGGGCTTTCTAGGGTGTCTATCCTCAATCTCCATCTCTTCCTCCCATGTGAGAGGATAATAAATGGAATGTTAAGAGAAACTCTTCATGTACATCCATTATGTGCCTGGCAGTGTGCAAACTCTGGGGATACAAAAGTGTGATTGGGCCCCAGTCTGCTGGAGCTTATTGTCTAGTGCAGGAATCGAGAAACCTTTTCAGTAAAATGTTAGATGGTAAATATTTGGGACTTCGTGGATGATATGGTTTCTGTCACAACTACTCAACTGTGCCATCAAAATACAAAAACAGCCAGAGACAATATGTAAAGAAATGAACATCACTGTGTTCTGTTTTTTGCCATGCTGTGAGACTTGTGGGATCTTAGTTCCCCAACCAGGTATCAAACATGGGTCCTGGCAGTCTTAGCACTCAGTCCTAATCACTGGACTGCCAGGGAAGTCCCTAAATTTAAAAAAAAAATTTTATGTAATTTTCACATGTCACAGAATATTATTCTCTAGTTTTAGAAATACCATTTAGGAATGTAAGTCATGAACTTGTGGGTTATACAATACAAAGACAGGTGGTGAGAGGAATTTGTGCTACAAACTGTAGCTTGCCTACTCCTGGTCTGATGGGAGGAGTACAAAACACAATGACTTATTAGAAATCAGAGCAGTGTTTACTTCTCAGTAAAGGGAAGTAAGTGGAAGGGAAGGGAAGTAAGCATAGGGAAAGGAAGTGTCTAGAAGGGGCAAAAGGAGCTCCTGCGAGTGCTGGCCAAGTTCTACTTCTTGATCTAAGTTATGGTTACATGGTTACATCTTGTGATGATTCATCAACCAGTACACTTATGGTTTGTGCAGTTTTCTGTTCATCATACTTTGTAAAGAAAAAAAAAAGTCTGCCATTCCAGTTCTACAAGGATCAAGCTATTAGCTACTGCAGTCACTCACCAACAATGTTGCCTGAGGGGAATTCATGATGGGGAAAAACAGGAAGTGTTCCGTGCTTTGTATGTTGTTTTAGTCCCTAAATCGTGTCTGACTCTTTTGGGACCCCATGGACTGTAGCCCTCCATGCTCCTCTGTCCATGGGATCTCCCAGTCAAGAATACTGTAATGGGTTGCCTTTTCCTGCTCCAGGGGATTTTCCTGACCCAAGGATCGAACCCATGTCTCCTGCACTGGCAGGTGGATTCTGTACCACTGATCCACCTGGGAAGCCCTGTGCTTTAGATATACTGGCCCCCAGATAGTTAAGTTATATAACTAAGGAAAAATTCCAGTGACCCCAGATTCTTGCGTCTTCCCATACATGGAAAAGCACTAAAATCATTAACTCAAGATGTCTGTTCTTTGTGGTTAACAGTAATCTTTTTATGCTTGATTACATGTTATTTCCAGCAAAAAAACCACACAAGTTTATAAATATCCTGGCTCCTCCCTTACCTCTTTGAAGCAGTGTCTCAGAGTAATCTGAGAGGCTGTCTTCCTGGGCAACAGTCCTCAGTAAGGTCCCGGAATAAAACTGAACTCACAACGTGTACATTGTGCATTATTCTTTCAGCTGACAATGTCAAATAAAAAGATAACTTAAGAATGATAAAGCAGTTTAATAAGTAATGAGGAGCTGGAGTGTTGAGGGGACAAAAACGGGCGCTAACCCTGCTTGGGAGACGACGGGTCAGGGAAGGCTTCTTCAAGGATGTGCGTGACAGGAGGGCACTTGGGGCGGGGGGTTGGGGGAGGCGGCATCACGAGTATTGGGTCAGATGTCACTAGGGCTGTCATTTAAAATACATTTTGTTCATGAATTTTTGGCCTTATTTTCATCTTTTAAAACATTGCATTACAATATTATTACCTCGATTTCTGACGGTTTGGCGCCCTCTTAAATTTTGCACTCGGGGCCAGTGCAAAATTCACCTCCGTCTATTCCAGCTTGTTGGACGAGGGTGGGAGACCTGGCTCTGTCCTTAGTACGGAGGGCAAGACCTTACTGCTGGTCCCTCATCTTTGTAAAGGGAAGGACGGTTACGCAACAAGATCACCGAGGTTAAATTCTTCCTGGCCCGACCAGGACTCACTTCGTCGGGGTCAGACCATGTACAACGCGCCATAGAAAGCGGAGTAGCCAGCCTGCCTCGGGAAGACCCTTTACCCAGACTTCCGAACTTGGTCTTTATGACCCAATTGGGCGGGGAGGCGCGCTTGAACCCGGCTTGTGATTGGCTGGGACCGAAGCGAGCCGGGATAGGCTCTCAAAAGGGAACGGCGCCTTGCGTCATCAGCGAGCGACGAGTGCCTCTAGAGGGAGCAGGTAAGCAAACTAAGCTCCTTTCTAATTGGCTCGCTCTTTCAGGAGGGTTGAAACAGCAATGGGGATTTGCTCTCCTCCAAGTCTAGGCTCCAGATAATTGGAGAAAGGGTGAAAAGGGAGAAGTTTAATGCGTCACTTACTGCCCGGAAGTCCTGGGGGGCGGGCCTTCAGAGAAAGGGGGTGGGTCGGGGGGCGGGCCTTTCCCTGTGGGGCGGTGGGGATAGAGCCGCCACGCCGCGGGGTCCTGGAGCGTGGGAGGCGGGCTTGGGGGGAGGGGTGGGGCCTAACTTGTGGGCGGGACCAGAGGAAGGACTGGGGCGGGGCCGCGCCCGTGGGCGGGGCCAGGGAAAGGCGGGGGCGGGGCCGGGCCAGGCGCGGGAGTGCGGGGCAGCCGGCAGTGGCTGGTCCCCTGGCTGGTTCCTCTTCCCAGGCATGGCTCCGCGCTGTTGGCGCTGGTGGCCTTGGTCGTCTTGGACTCGGACTTGGCTGCCTTCTTCCAGGAGCACCCAGAGTAGGAGCAGGGCGCCTCTAGGGCTGGGTGGGAGGTCGGGGAGGCCTGCGAGTGATTCCGTGAGAAGTAGGAGCCGAGCTGGGGCAGGGCTGGAGAGGGGAGAGGGAGGAGACCAAGGCCGAGACTGGAGGGGTGCACTCATGTAGACGGGGTGCGGGCGGTGTCCAGGGGCAGATGACGGCCTGTGCGGCAAGGTGTGAGGCTGCTGGGTGAGACAGGGGTCAACAAAGGTTCGAAGGGGAGACCATGATGTCCAAAGGTGTGAGAAGGAGTGAATGAGGGGAATAAGGAGGTCTGTGGGGCAGGAGGGAAGTCTGAGGCGAAACAGGCGTCTGTATCGGTGATAGAGGGCTCTGTGGAAGGAGAGGAGTTAGAAGAAGGAAAACGGGGCATTGTGGGGAGATCCACAGGGGCGAGATTGGGTGATACTGGGTCTGTTGGAAGATGTGGTATTCTAGCTGAGCGGGTCGTGAAAACCCAGTAAGAAAATTTAAGTAGGGCAGCTTCAGGGGTGATGGGGAGTGTTGAGTAGGCCCTCTAAAGCGGGCTCTGGATGTGAGTGAGATAGGGCCTCTGGATGGACACACAACCTTTGGGGATTCAGATGGAATAAGGGACCCTGGCAAATGTCGAAGCTTCGAAGAAAAAGAGAAGGAGGATGCATATGAGGGTGAAGGCTGGGAAATTCCGTCTTCTCTTCGATACTTAAGTTGGGATTTGGCATGGGCGAGGGAGTCTTGATCTGACCTTCTGCCCCCATCCCCCCACCCTAGACTTCGGCCAGCACTTCTCCACACAGGAGCAGACCCCCCAGATCTGTGTGGTGGGCAGTGGCCCAGCTGGCTTTTACACAGCCCAGCACCTGCTAAAGGTAAGCCACTTCCCCCTGGTACCTTTTCCCCAGGATTCACCTGCTGCTCCAGTCTTAAGTGCAAGCCCCACTCCTTTGGGTTTTAAAAGCACTCCTGGATTCCTGATGGGGAAGAAGCTTCCAGCGCATCTGGACAGGACACTTTGTACATGCTTTGTCACCTGGGGCTCCCCACTATAGGTCCTCAGCTCGGAGAGAAGTGTGTTTGCCTCCTGGGTGGTGGTTCGTGGCAGACAGTTGGCTATGCTTTCTTGGCCAAGTACTCCAGGGAGCTTACTCCAGACCTGCAGGATAACTTTACTCTGCCCCTCATCTTCCCTTCTTTCTCCTCTCTCTCCTTTCTGTTCCAATATCCTGCATCTTGAGGCCACCCCCCCTTCTCAAGGCCCTCTGTAACTTTAGGTGCCTCATTGCACTCTCCTTGCCAATAGTTCCAGCCCTATGCCATGCTGTTTTTTCAGCCTGCTCTCCACTCCCCATCCTACCCCTTCCCCCCACCCCATGGCCAGAGTCTCAAGGTTTATAGTACTAGCCTTGGCGGGCAGGGCCCCAAGGTTGCTGGTTACCCTTGAAACATCGGCAGGCCTTGGTGGGGCAGGAGTCGGGGATGGGAGAGGGATGTGGGAGAGTTCAGCTGACTAAGACATAGGACAATGACCTTGCTGTGGAGAGACAGGAGAATGGATGAATATATTAACTATACACTCTACTTAAAAAGTAGGGCGATCGACCTTCCCAGTTTGTCGGGGATGTGAGGCTTTCAGCCTTACTGCTGGGAGGGTCTTGGGGAGGCCAGGATGAGTTGGTCCCCCTGCCAGAAAGTGACCTAAGCTCACCTTCCAAGCAGCACAGGTAAAAGAGCTAATTACAGTGAAGTGACCAGTAAGAGCCTGGTTAGGTGGGGTTGGTAAGAAGGTGCCTCCTGGAGAAGCTGTGTTTGCGTTGCACTGAGGGAGGCTCCCAGGCTCTGGAGAGGGTCTCCCATGTGTGGGGCTTCATTACAGGCCAGTTGCCATGTGTCACAATAGACCTGGGCACTGAGAAGGAGACCAGGGATCTTCCGGGGCTTGGGTAAGGGTCGCCGTGCGAGTGGAGTCTGAAATGTGGGCAGAGGGGGCCTTCCCGGCAGCATGCTCAGTGCCCCGAGTGTGAACAAAGGCTCTGACCTGTGCGTTCTTTCCCTGTGGGAGGTACTGGGGGTGGGCACCGGGGCCAATTACAGGCTGGTCCCTGTCCACTGGGAGCTTCAAGCTACGAGCTGTGCTCCCGGGACGGGAACACAAGGCAGGTTTGGGACAGTGGCACTTAGCTGAGTCAGGCACGGTCTGCACAGCAGCTCCTCGCAGCCTCAAGATAACTTGCGAAGCAGGTGGCATGACTCTTGCTTCAGAGGTGAGAATGCTGAGGCTGAGGGAGGCTGTCCAAGGCCCCACCGCTGAGCAGGGAAGGCCTGGGTTCTGAGCGTGGACTGTCCGATGGCAGAGCCTGACCTTAAGGTCCACGCTGGGCCGTTCAGTTATCAACCACTGGACGCTGACATGATCCAGGCACGGCTCGGCACGGGGAACATGAGCAGGACAGACATGGTCCCCACGCTCAAGGACCTGAGAGTCTACCTGGGGGGTTGTGGAGTAGAGGAGAAGAGGGTTTACGTGATATTCTAGGATCCTGATGGGCGAGGGGACACTGCATACAGGGGGGACACCTTACCCAGCCAGAGAGGGTGATGTCCTTGATCGATGTGTAAAGGACAGAGGAGGGGTGGGGCAGGAGGCCAGAGAGCCCCGGGCGCAGAGAACGGCGTGACAATCACCCCGAGGAGAGAGGATGTGGGTTTGGGGATGGGCGAGTTCAGCAGCTGGAAGGGTAGGAGCAAAGGCTGGAGGAGGTGCGTGGGCCCAGGTGCTGGGGACCTGGAAGCCCTGAGCAGGCTGGAAGCCGGCGGTTTCTCTTGGTGCTGTCCACCCCTTCCCTCCATCAGAGTCCCCTGGGGGACTGGGGAAAACGCACATTTCTGGGCCTAGTTTCCACCTAATCAAGCTGTGACTGGGGCTCAGGAATCAGCATTTGAAAACAACACACCTCTTTTTTCCTGGGTGCACAGTTGCCACAGGTGGTTGGCTTTGCTAGAGGGTTTTAGGCGGGGGGTTGAAAGCACCCTGATTTTGATCTGGAGCTTTCTCTGCCTGCAGGGAGGGCAGGGCTGGTGGCCAGGAGAGCAGTGGGAGCTGCTGGGGTGGCAGTGGGGAGGACGGGGGTCTGATTGGACACGATCAAGGGGAGTCAGAGAGAAACCCTAGCTTCTGGCTCGGGGTGGAAGGAAGCCTGGGAGCAGAGTGGGGAGAAGTTTGGGGGAAGGGGGACTGGCTTCCATCCAGATTGGTGTGAGGTGTCTCGGGTGAGCTGTTCAGGGGTCTCAGGCTTGGTAGGAGGGCTGGGCAGAGGAGAGTAGAACGTCATCAGTAAGTCCACAGAAATTTGAGGTCATAGGAGGGAGCGATGACACCTCCCCAAGGGAATGTCCTGGGCAAGGGGAGGGGACCTCAGATTGGAAGAACCTCCGAGAATATTCTTGTTAGAGGAGGAATAGAGCAAAGAGGACCTGGGAAAGAACAGCTAGAGGGATTGGAGGGACGGGGGAGAGATAGGAGGCACCAGTGGTAAAGAATCCGCCTGCCAATGCAGGAGACACAAGAGATGAGGGTTTGATCCCTGGGTCGGGAAGATCCCCTGGAGGAGGAAATGGCAACCCACTCCAGTATTCTTGCCTGGAGAATCCCATGGACAAAGGAGCCTGTGGGCTACAGGTGGGGTCCCAAAGAGTCCGACACGACTGGAGCAACTTAGCACTCGTGTGAGAGCTAGGAAGGACGGGCTTCCCGGAAGAGGAGTCCGGTCCTGTGAGAGAACCAGTGAACAGGTCCAGCGGGTTTAGTCTTACCCTTGGAGAGGGCCCTGAGTCCTGGAGGGAAGGCTCCAAGCTGGAAAGAAGGAAAGATAAGATGGGAAGGCAGATAGTGTATGATGTTGACCTGCAGGCTAAGCAGTTTGAACTTTGTCCCCTGGCCGGGCAGCCAGGGAAGGTTCGTGAGCCAGGCGGTGAGACACAGCCACCACAGCAACTGCAGTGATGGTAATGGCAGCTTTTGATTGAACACTTGCAGCGGGTCTCGCCCGGGGCTGAGGGTGCAGGCCTTGCTCATTGCATCTGGAGCATCACGCCAGGGAGTGTTCTGTGGCCCAGAGAAGTTAAGAATCATTCCAGCGGCACAGAGTCAGATAGTGGTGGCGCTGGGTCAGCTCCCGTGGCTGTTGACTCCAAAACTTCAGCTCTTCAAGGGCATAGGGAGGTCGGTGGGGCAGAGGGAGGTGGTTCTGGCGCTGCCTGTGAATGGCACGGATGGGAAGAGTCAGGAGGCACAGTGGGCAGTGTTGGGTGGGGTGCCTGGACTTGGGCACAGGCAGTGGGCTTCCCAGGTGGCGCTAGTGGTAAAGAACCCGCCTGCCACGGCAGGAGACATAAGAGACACGGGCTTGATCCCTGGGTCGGGAAGATCCCCTGGAGGAGGAAATGGCAACCCACTCGAGTATTCTTGCCTGGAGAATCCCATGGACAGAGGAGCCTGGTGGGCTACAGTCCATGGGGTCGCAAAGAGTCAGACACAACTGAGCGACTGAGCACACACACAGCTGTAAGTTTCCAAGGGTGGTTCTCAGGCCATCCACAGGCTGGGCGTTGCTAGACGCATCAGAGGGTTCTGGGACAGGGCTGTGTGTCACGCCTGACCCAAGTAGATGAAGAAGCTCTCCTGATACAGCTCCGGTGAAGGGAAAGCTGCCGCCTTCCTCGGCTGGCCAGCGGTCTCGCCAACTCAATGGGCTGGTGGCCCTTGAAGTCGGGCCTTGGCTGCCCTGGCTCTGGACTGCCCATCCCTCTAGTCTGGCTCTCTGGGCAGGTGAGGACAGATGGGCCTTCCTCTCTCCTGGGTCCTCAGCCCGCTGAGTGGGGCTGTCCTGCTCTGCCCTGGGAAGGGCAGACTTAGCCTCTGCTTCAACCCCACCAGGGCTTCCCAGGAGGCCTGCCCATGTAGGAAATGCAGGCGATGTGGATTCCATCCCTGGGTCAGGAAGATCCCCTGGAGGAGGAAACGGCAACCCACTCCAGTATCCTTGCCTGGAGAACCCCATGGACAGAGGAGCCTGGTGGGCTACGGTCCACGGGGTCGCAAAGAGTTGGACACGACTGAAGCGACTCAGCTCGCAAGACGCTTGGCCCCACTAGTCGCTGCCCTCTCCCCCAGCATCACTCCCGGGCCCACGTGGACATCTACGAGAAACAGCTGGTGCCCTTCGGCCTGGTGCGCTTTGGCGTGGCGCCTGACCACCCTGAGGTCAAGGTGGGTGTCTCTGGGCTCAGAGTGGGGGTTAAGAGACTTTGGTCAAGATGGGGGGCGCGGAGGGAGGCTCCCGGACCTCATGGGATGACCCTTGGCTCTCTGGAGGGGGTGATACCCCAGACACTATGGGGTGAGCTTGGCACTGCCGTGGGCCCTGGCGCTGCCCAACCCTCTAACCCCTCCCCCACTCCCCCGGGCCTGGCAGAATGTCATCAACACCTTTACCCAGACGGCCCACTCTGACCGCTGTGCCTTCCACGGCAACGTGGAGGTGGGCAGGGATGTGACTGTGCAGGAGCTGCGGGACGCCTATCACGCCGTGGTGCTGGTGAGTGCAGGCGGGTGGGCGGGGGTGGTGGCTGGGGGGACGCCATGGGGAAGAAGCTAGAAGGAGGCCAGTGGGAGCCTGGGGGGTGGGCTACCCGGCCCGTTAGCTGCTGCTGAGGCCTCTGGGTCTGTCCTCAGAGCTACGGGGCAGAGGACCATCAGGCCCTGGATATCCCTGGTGAGGAGCTTCCCGGCGTGTTCTCGGCCCGGGCCTTCGTGGGCTGGTACAATGGGCTTCCTGAGAATCGGGAGGTGAGTTTGGGGAGAATTCCCTTGGCCTCTTCCTCCACTTCTCAGCCAGCTCTTGGCTCCCACAGCTGGGGGAAGGGGCAGCCGCAGGCCTGGGAGGCGGCCGGCGAGATGAGATGTGAAGCATCAGGCTGGCGGCGGGGGGTGGTGCCTCTAGGAAGACGGGGTGAGGGGTGCTGGGGGCGGGACCTGGGTTGAGGCTTGGGGTGGGGGGCGAACGTTCTGAGCATGGAGGAGCTTGAGGCTACGGCTGGGGATGGGGCGTGAGGCTGAGATCAGCCTGACTGAGGCCCAGGCTGGGTGAGCCTCATCCCGACCTCTGCCCTCCAGCTGGCCCCGGACCTGAGCTGTGACACAGCCGTGATTCTGGGGCAGGGGAACGTGGCTCTGGACGTGGCCCGGATCCTGCTGACCCCACCCGAGCACCTGGAGGTGAGTGGGTAGGTCAGGGGCTGGAGGGGTGGGAGTGGGGGGTTACACCAAGGAGAGGAGGCCCCTGCCTGCAGGGTTTGGGCCTCGTCCCTCCAGGCTGAACTCAGTGCCTGCTTCCCCACAGTGCCTGGCAGAGGCCTTCTAAAAGGCGGCTTTATCTCATGTCATTTCCTCATCACTTTCTGCAGCTACATAGGGTTTTTAAAAGGGCAAGTTTTCAGTGTACACACACCACTTCCCCTGCTCAGAAGCCTCTCAACACACCTCCTATGTGTGTGGGTGTGTGCTAAATTGCTAAATTATGTCTGACTCTTTGTGACCCAAAGGCTGTAACCCACTAGGCAGCTCTGTCCATGGGATTCTCCAGGCAAGAATAACTGGAGTGGGTTGCCATGCCCTCCTCCAGGGGAAGTGAAAGTTGCTCAGTCATGTCTGACTCATTGCGGCTGTATAGTCCATGGAATTCTCCAGTCCAGAACACTGGAGTGGGTTGCCTTTCCCTTCGCCAGGGGATCTTCCAGACCCAGGGATCAAACCCAGGTCTCGCACATTGCAGGTGGATTCATCTTTAATTAATTTTTAAAAATAATTTCATTTATTTTATTTTTGGCTGTGCTGGGTCTTCGTTGCTGTGCAGACTTCCCTCCAGTTGCGTTGAGCAGGGGCTGCTCTCTAGTCGTGGTGTGAGGGTCTCTCATCGCGGTGGTTTCTCTTGTTTCCGAGCACAGGCTGTAGGGCGCATGGGCTTCAGTAGTCGCAGCTCCCTGGCTCTCGAGCGCAGGCCCAGTAGTCGCAGCTCCCGGGCTGTCGAGCGCAGGCTCAGTAGTTGTGGCGCACGCGCTTACTTGCTTCAGAGCATGTGGGATCTTTCCGGATCAGGAATTGAACCCATGTCTCCTGCATCAGCAGGCGGATTCTTTATTACTGAACCACCAGGAAAACTCACCTGTGTTCATCTTTTAGTTCCTGACTCAGTTGTTCCTCCAGGAAATGTTCCAGGACCACCGTGAATAGGTCTATCTCCCCTCCTTCCCATAGACTTGGCTACTTTTGTTTCAAAGTATGTTGTCACCACTGCAGTGTTACACTTATGAATGAGTATTTGATAAGCCTCTCTCCCAGATCAGAAGCTCTGTGAGGGCCAGCACCATGTCTGTTTTGTTCACCATTGATTGACCCTGCCCCCTATCCCCCTTGCACACTTGGTAAACACTTGTTGAATGAAGATGATCAGCCTGATTTGCTACTCAGTTCAGTTCAGTTGCTCAGTCACGTCCGACTCTTTGTGACCTCGTGGACTGCAGCACGCCAGGCTTCCCGGTCCATCACCAACTCCCAGAGCTTGCTCAAACTCATGTCCATCTGGTTGATGATGCCATCCAACAATCTCATCCTATGTCGTCCCTTTTTTCTCCTGCCTTCAGTCTTTCCCAGCATCAAGGTCTTTTCCAATGAGTCAGTTCTTCGCATCAGGTGGCCAAAGTATTGGGGTTTCAGCTTCAGCATCAGTCCTTCCAGTGAATATTCAGGACTGATTTCCTTTAGGATTGACTGGTTTGATCTCCTTGTGGTCCAAGGGACTCTCAAGAGTCTTCTCCAAAACCACAGTTTAAAAGCATCAATTCTTGTGCACTCAGCTTTCTTTATGGTCCAACTCTCACATCCATACTTGACTCCTGGAAAAACCATAGCTCTGACTATATACAGACCTTTGTCGGCAAAGTAATGTCTCTGCTTTTTAATATGCTGTCTAGGTTTATCATAGCTTTTCTTCCAAAGAGCAAGCGTCTTTTAATTTCACGCCTGTGGTCACCATCTGCACTGATTTTGGAGCCCAAGAAAATAAAGTCTGTCACTGTTTCCATTGTTTCCCCATCTCTTTGCCATGAAGGGATGGGACGGTTTGCTGCTAGTTGGAACCATTTGCAGAATTGGCCGCAGTGCTCCGTCTGGCCACCAGAGGGGACAGTGTTGCCGTTTCAGGCTGCCAGCCTTCTCACCGCCCAGGGTCTGGACACCAGCAGATGGAGAGTCCCCTTCTGCTGTCATTTTCCAGTGACTTTAAGGTCCTCCTTTTGTGCCAGAAAACGGACATCACAGAGGCTGCCCTGGGAGCCCTGAGACAAAGTCGGGTGAAGACGGTGTGGATTGTGGGCCGACGTGGACCCCTACAAGTGGCCTTCACCATAAAGGTACTGGGGTCTGAGGGAGATCCACCAGGGTCCCTTGGGAGGCGTGGCAGGGCAGAGCCGCCCGGGGTGGATGAAGGGGAGCGAGGCAGGGCCCCCTGGGGGCCCAGTGCCTTCCGTGGTGGTGGGTGGCGGTGATGTCTCCCCTGGGCTGGGTTCTGGGATGGGCTCGGGAGTGGACAGTGCTCCGGACCTGACCCTCTCCTCCACTCCCCACCCCCACCCCCAAGGAGCTTCGGGAGATGATTCAGTTACCAGGAACTCGGCCCATGTTGGATCCTGCAGATTTCTTGGGTCTTCAGGACAGAATCAAGGGTGAGGGGCCCTGGTCTGGCCCCCCAGCTCACTAGGAGGGGATGGTCTAGGTCAGGGAGGGCTGGGGAGAGGGCATGTGGGGAGAGGACTGGGACACCGCCCTGAGATGTCCTGCGTGGCTAACAGAGGCCGCTCGCCCGAGGAAGCGGCTGATGGAACTGCTGCTTCGAACAGCCACGGAGAAGCCAGGGGTGGAGGAGGCTGCCCGCCGGGCATCAGCCTCCCGCGCCTGGGGCCTCCGCTTCTTCCGAAGCCCGCAGCAAGTGCTGCCCTCGCCAGATGGGCGGCGGGCCTCAGGCATCCGCCTGGCAGTCACTAGACTGGAGGTGAGTCTCCTGTTAACCAAAGACACCCCCGTTCTCAAGTCTTCCTACCTCCTAGCCTGGTGTTTCCCACACTCTCCCTGCAGGGCATCGGTGAGGCCAGCCGGGCAGTGCCCACGGGCGACACGGAGGACCTCCCTTGTGGGCTGGTGCTCAGCAGCATTGGCTATAAGAGCCGCCCCATCGACCCCAGTGTGCCCTTTGACCCCAAGCTTGGGGTCGTCCCCAATATGGAGGGCCGGGTTGTGGATGTGCCAGGTGAGAGGGGGTGGGGAGGGGTGGGCCAGGGAGGCTGGTGTCTCTCAGGGCTGTTTCACATTCATTCCTTCATCCAGTGACATGCATGGAGAAACTGTTCTGAGTCAGGCTGGTGACTCAGCCCCACCCACCCCCTGGCCCTACAAGAAGTCCCCAGCGTAGCTGCAATGCCCACTCGTATGTCTGATTACTAAGTTGGTCAGGGTACTGAGGCCTGCTCTGGGCTAGGCCAGGGCTGAGACTAGGGGTTAAGCAGCAGCTTAATGCGTGTCCTCTGTGAGTTTCCAACCTGGTTAGGTGTCCACATGTGTGCTGTGTCCCACCCTTTGTGACCCAATGGATTGTAGCCGCCAGGCTCCTCTGTCCATGTGGATTCTCTGGGCAAGAATGCTGTAGCGGGTTACCATGCCTTCCTCCAGGGGATTGTCTCAACCCAGGGATCAAACCCAGGTCTCCCGCATTGCAGGCGGATTCTTTACCATCTGAGCCCCCAGGGAGGCCCAGATAGCCACATACTCATCTAGTTATTAATTCATTCAGTCAGTGTTTACTGAGAGCCTGCTGAAGCGAAGTGACAGGACCCAGCTCCTACAGGGAGCTCCAAGAGGCAGGGACACTAAGGTGTAAGGTGGGGGGCGGTGCGTGGTAAGAACACCTGGGTGTGTTTGGGGAAGACCTGAGGGCAGTGGGCAGCAGACAGTGGGCCCGGCCAATGGATGCTGGGGGGCCATGCTCCCAGCACATGTATCCTGGGGCTCAGGCTTGCCAGGGTACCTGGCCCAACTCCCTACTCCTTTACCCTCTTTCACCCCAGGCCTCTACTGCAGCGGCTGGGTGAAGCGGGGACCCACGGGTGTCATCACCACCACCATGACCGACAGTTTCCTCACCAGCCAGATTCTGCTGCAGGACCTGAAGGCCGGGCACCTGCCGTCTGGCCCCAGGCCAGGCTCTGTGGCCATCAAGCGCCTGCTGGGCAGCCGAGGTCTGGGCCCCGTGTGAGCTTCCGGGAGGTGGGGGGTGGGGGGTGGGAGTGGGGGGAGGTTCCTGGGCCAGAAGGGGGCTGCTCCCTGCTATGGTGGGGGAGCAGGTGGAGGCCCTGAGCCATCTTCCCTCTGCTGCAGGGGTCTGGACCGTGTCTTTCTCGGACTGGGAGAAACTGGATGCTGAGGAGGTGTCCCGGGGCCAGACCTTGGGGAAGCCCAGAGAGAAGCTGCTGGATCCTCAGGAGATGCTGCAGCTGCTGGGGCACTGAGCCCAGATCCCAGTCTGGCCCGGTGCAGGGAGAAGAGGAGGGTGAGCCCAGATCCCAGCCCGGCTCAGAGAAGAAAGGAGGCGCACTGGGCAGCCGAGAGGCGTCGGGGTCAGCCTGAGTGGGACTCTGCACCCCAGCTGCGTCGTCTGCCCGTCCTGGCATACGGCCCTGGCTGCCTCTTCTCCAGGGGCGTGGGAGCGCTTTCTCCAGCCAGAAGGTCGCTTCTGCCAGTGTGGGTACCTTTCAGCAAGGAGATAACCTTAGTTAGGGATGGTGGCAGGTACAGGCTGACCTCCCTCCCTCCTGCTCTCTCCTGCTGGACTGTGGAGGGCCCCGAGGTCAGGAACATGCTGGAAATAAAGCATCTGCCACCGAGGGTCACTGGTCCGTGTGCGCAACTTCTTTCGAGGCTCAGGGTCACCTTCCGGCCGCAGCTCTCCTCCAGTCGCCAGGTGGCGCTGCAGAGCCAGCTCCCTGCCCCCGGGGGGCCCGTGGGGGCTTTTGGCAGCCCCGCCTGGCACCCACCCGTCTTCCCAGCTTGGCCCTGCTGCGCGGCCGGCCTGCCTTCTGCCCGCCCTGCAGGCACCCTGTGACCCCAGCCTGCCCGCTCCGCTCGCCCTCCTGTCGGGTCCCGGTCCCTGGTTTGTCTCCAGCACAACCAAGTGCAAGACAAAAAGTGGGAGCCAGGGCGCCCGGCGCGTCCCTGTGGCCCCTCGGACTGGCCCGGGTCCCCCCGCACTCTCACTCCCAACGCCTTCCCGCCTTGTTGCTTTCCAGGCAGATAGATCTTTGAAAAATAGCACCCCGGTGTCCCTAGCGTGTTCATCATCTTTCTACCAGCCCCCCAAGCTGCCGGCCTCACTTTACAGACTGGGGGTGGGGTGGGGCCGGAATCCTCGAAATTAACCAGCCCAAGGTCACACACCCAGTAAGCCTGGGGCTCGAACCCAGGGCTGCGGGCAGCCTGTTTTCTCCGAGGCTGTGGGGTCTGGGGACATGGGAAGAAGAGACGCGCTGGTGGGGTGGGCCGGCCGGGGCGGGGCGGGGCGGAGGCGGCGGGCCCCGGTGGGGCGGGCCCGCGCGGGTGGCGGCGGCGGCGGCCAGCGCTCCGACACAGCCGGCTGGCAAGACCCGAGAGCCTGAGGCGCGGCGCGCCGCCCAGCCCGGGACGGAACCCGGCGCCGAGCGGGCCACGGGAGGGGCGCGGGCTGCGGGGCGCGGGGGCGGGCCCGGCCCCAGCCCGGCAGGCCGCGCCACGGGCACCGGCCCCGCAGGCGCCCCTGCCCAGGCGCCCCTGCCCAGGCGCCCGCCAAGCTAGGACAGAGCGCGCCAGCGCGCGGAGCCGAGGCGCCGGGACTCGCACCGCGCGGGAGGCGGCCGGCGCGGGCGCAGCGCCCCTTCCTCCCGGTGAGTGGCGGGTGGCGAGCGGGGGGCGCCAACTTCGCCGCCAACTTGGGGCTGGGCTCCGGCGCCTCGCGGGCAAGGACGGCGGGGACAGACGCGGGGCACAGGGGAGAGTCTGGCGGGCGCTCGGAGCCCGAGGGGGGTGGAGCTGGGGGGCTGGGACCTGGGGCACCTGGCCTGGGGGTTCAGACCCAGGCGGGCGGGGACGAGGTGTGGGAGAGAGGCCGAGGTGCCAGGCACGCACGGCGGACGCGAGGGAAGGACGCGGGCGAGGCGCCCAAGACGTTCGTCTCCCGGGTCGCCGAGCCCTCCGGCTCCCTTTTTCGCCGGGCGCCGCGGCACCGCTGGGGAGGGTGCGGTGCGCGGACGCAGGAGTCGGGGCTACGAGCCCCGCAACTGTTGCTGCGGGAAGCCGGGCGGGGCTTGGGGAGCTGGAGCTGTGGCTGAGCTCAGCCAGAGCGAAGGGGGCTGGAGAGGGCGCGGAGCAGAGAGGACGAAAGGGGCGCCGGTGGCTCCAGGAGTCGGCCGCCTGCTCCCGGAGGTCGGCAGAGCATCTGCCCTCGCAGCCCCGCCCCGTCACCGGCTGTGAGCACCGCCCCCCCACCCCAGATTCCCCCCTCCCAGCTCTTCCTTCGGTGCAACCTCCCTCCTCTGGCCTCAGGGAACCAGAGTGGGCTTCACGGGGTGGTGGGATCTCCCCAAACGCTGGCCCCGCGCCCGGCGGACCCTGCCAGGCTCGAGGCTGGGAGACGAAGGGTGGGCGAAGAAGACCTGGGAGAGGCGAGAGCCCCCCCCACCCCCGCGCGCCCCGGTGCGCTGGGCCTTGGCGGCCGCACCAGCACGTTGCTCTGATCTCCCCGGGCTTCGACCAGGATCCCCGACGGCGGGGAAGGGGGGCCGCAAGTCTGCTGCAGAAAGAGGTTCACGCCTAGGCCCAGGCGGGCAGGGCTAGGGCCATGAGAAGGTAAAGTCACCTAGCGGCCAGAAAATCCCCAAGGGTGCATCCCACGAGCCATGGAAAGGTCCTGCCGGGTGAGCGAAGGGGGAATTCCTGCCGGGCCCTGGCGCTCACCCTACTGGTCCTAGCCCTGCTCCCCCGGAGGGACTTCGGGCTCGGTCCCCAGCTCCCCAAGGCCCACCGCCCTGGCTTCATCCCCGAAATTGAGGAAGGGAACTTGGGGGATGGGGATGCCTGCTCTGTCTCAGAGCCCGTCTAGTTTCTGGCTGTGCCAGTCAGCTTCCAAGCTGCTTCTAAACTCGGTACTAGGAATTCGAATATTAACGTGAAGAGGACCCAGTAGACCGGCAACCTCACTCCCGGATTTGCCCTAGGACAGGACTGAGCTGGTACGGCGCCCACAGCCCCACCTGCCAGGCGAGCTCGGCTCTCCCCAGCCGCGGGGCTTGGGGCGCGATCCATCTTGGGGCTCGATCCAGCTTGGGGGCAGCGGGGATGGCGACCTAGGAGCCGGGGAGGTCCGCAGAGGGCAGCGGCGAGGCGGGGGGCTCGGGGTGCGTGGTGCCCAGTTTGGCCGCCAGGAGGCGTGGCGCGGGTCCCGGCGCCCGGAGTCGGCTCCGCCGCATCGCAAGTGTCCTTGAGCCGCGGGTGACAGTGGCTCTCGCCGCTCGCGCCCCCTCCTCCCGCGGGGGGAGCCTGATGCCACGTTCCCTATGAATTATTTATCGCTGGCCTAAAAATACCCCGAACTTCACAGCCCGAGTGTAAGAGATTCCCCGGGGGTCCAAGTGGAATCAGCGCCGAGGGTGCGTGGGGGGAGATAGTCTTGCAGGAGGGAGACCTCGGTGCCCGCGACAGTGGGGGCAAGGTGGAGGGGTGGTCTTGGCCCCTGGCGTCCGGGTTCTCCCCTGGCGCTCGGCAGAAGGGAGGCAGGGAAACCCGACGGCAGGTCGCTCAACCGGTGGGCGGAGGATCCAGACGGGCCGCGCAGCTGGGGTCCCTCGGCTGCTCCCGGAAGCTGCGCGGTTGGTGGGTGGGGCTGACTCCGGGGACCCAGGTTCCCGGCCTGGGGGAGGGGGAACGGCCCTCAGATGTCTGGCGTGGGAGAGTGTGTGCACGCCTATGTGCGGGGAGCCTGCCTGGGATTGGGGGAGCAGGGGAAGAGAAAGAAGAGCTCTAAGCAGGCGGAGGTGTTCGGGCCGTTCAAGGTGATGCTGAGCGTCTCGGAAGACCGACCATTGCCTCCCTCGCACGGGCTTTTTTGGGGGGGGGGGTCGGAGTGTTCATCAAGTATTAACAGCCCCTTTGCGAAAGGTGTGGACTGCAAGTGGGTGGGCAGAGATCTGGAAGGCAACAGTCCAGAGCGGGGCGGGGGCATCCGGAAGTGACAGGAGCCATCCCAGAGGCAAAGCCGGAGCTCCCCGACCGGAGGTGGTGGGGGGAAGGGCAACCAGCCTGGAACCAGACCCAGACCCTCTGGGTCCTCACCTGTGTGTCCGGAGCTGCGAGGTACTAAGTCAGGGGCTCTGTGGCAGAGGGATTTACCTGGGGCTCTGAAAGTTCTGGCACTTGTCGTGTGGCCGAGAGAGGCAGAGGGAAGAGGTCACTGGAGCCCGAGGGAGCAGCAGAGCAAAGGCCTGGAGATGAAGGCAGTGCGCCGTCTGGCCACCAGGCTGGAGGAGGTCCCCGGAGGGGCGGGCGGGCTCTGTCCGTGGGACCAGGGTGTCCCGGCTTCGTGTGCGGGCACCAGGGAGCAGGCGTGCTGTCTGAGGAGGGGTGCAGCGGCCAGAGGGCTTTCTGGCCACTGGGGCAGGTGGGGGCGGTGGCTGGATGGGAGGCGGAGAGGTGGGAGGCCAGGGGGAGACATGTGGGAGAGGAGATCAGGCTGGGGCTCCGATGTGACCCTCCTGATTTGCTGGGGAGGCTGGATGCCCTGTGATGCTGAGACTGTGGAGGCTGAGACTCTTGGAATCTGCCCATTGCTCTTTTTTAAAAAAATGTTTCTTAAATTTATTTTTAATTAGAAGATAATTGCTTTTTTTCCCATGTATTTTTATTTGTTGGAGGCTAATTACTTTACAATATTGTAGTGGTTTTTGTCATACACTGACATGAATCAGCCATGGATTTACATGTATTCCCCATATCCCCGATTCTCCCTCCCATCTCCGATAATTGCTTTTCAATGCTGTGTTAGTTTCTGCTGTACACCGAAGAGAATCAGCCACGCATGCGTGCTCAATCACTTAGTCGTATCTGACTCTGTGACCCCGTGGACTGTAGCCCGCCAGGCTCCTCTGGCCATGGGATTCTCCAGGCAAGAGTACTGGAGTAGGTTGCCGTTTCCCTCCTCCAGGGGATCTTCCCGACCCAGAGAGCAAACCCGTGTCTCTTGTGTCCCCTGCACTGGCAGACGGATTCTTGAGCACTGTGCCAAATGGGAAGCCTTTCCCATTGCTCTTTGAAGCCTGGGGACTGCCTTGATTGGGGTCCCTCCATCCACAGGCATTCTGTGATCACTCCTGGGGAGAGGCAAAACCTGCCCCAGCTTCCTCTCCTCGCCAATTCCAGCCCTGGAGGACACCTTCCCATCTGAGACAGCCTCTGGGGGCGGTGCCCCCTTGGAGCTGAGGGAGGACCTGGGTCCTTCATCTACAGTCACGTAGTCGGAAAGAAACAAAATGAGAACCACATGTAGGCACATTAGAAAAAAAGGAAAAAGAAGTGAAATGAATTCTACCACTATATTGTGTCTGAATCAATGTATCTAAAATATTTCTTCAACATGTGATCAATATAAAAATATTAATGAGATGTGTTCTTTTTGTAAGGGGAGTTTTTGTTATCCAGTGTGTATTTTACACCTACGGCTTACCTCAGTTGGGATGAGCCTCATTTAAGGGCCTGATAATCACACATGGCTGGTGCCTGCTATATTTGACAGCGCGGGTCCGGAACTCAGAACTGGGAGGCAGAAATGGGGGAGGCTTCAGGCTTCCCAGGGATGGGCAGCTGAGCACAGAGAGCTTGCAGGAGGAGAAAGGAGCATGACAGTGTCCTTTGCTGGTGTGATTCAAATCTCTGATTGAAGGTAGCAGTGGACATGGTGGGCTTATGTCCCTATCCTAGAGTCACACACGTCTCCAGGCTGACATTCTTTTTATTTATTTATTCCACTGTGCCGGGTCTTAGTTGTGACATGTGGGGTCTTTGATCTTCTTTGCAGCATTCAGGATCTTTAGTTGCGGCATGCAAACTCCTAGTCATAGCATGTGGGATTTAGTTCCCCGACTAGGGATCGAACCCAGGCCCCCTACATCGGGAGCGTAGAATCTTAGTTACTGGACCACCAGGGAAGTCTCTCCGGGCTGACATTCTCAGTGTACTGGGAAACCCTACACAGGGGGAGATTTCAAGGGCACAAAAACAAGTACAGTATTCCCTCTCCTGCCAAAAATCCTGTCTTCTCATTCTGAAATGAAAGCTGGCCCAGCCCGGTCACCCTTTGGCCCTCTCCGTTCAGAAGTTTCATCGGGGAAGTGATGGAAATGGAGAGGGTGGCAAAGCTGTGGCTGAGGGCCAGCAGGGAGGGAGAGCTGCCTCCCTGCATGCCACTCACCGGTGTGGCTATTGGTCCCAATCCAAAGCAGTGATGCTTGTTTCACAAGGATACACATCAGGCCCTTGGGGTAGGTTTAAAAAATCCCTCACACCAGCGACGGCCCAGGGAGGCAACTCATGTGTGAGATACTGTGGGGACTGCAGATGACCCCAAACCCTGAAAAACTCAGCGGGGTCACACTCCTGCTGTGGAAGAGCTGCTACTAATTGAAGCCACGGAGGGAAGGGTAGGATGTCCGGAGCCCAGAAGGAGGGGGCTTTGTGCCAGGCAGGGTTACACATAGCAGGGTCCTCAGGGATGTTAGATTCAGCTTAAGATGCAGAAGGTGTGTGTGTGTGTGTGTGTGTGTGTGTGTGTGTGTGTTACAAGAGCTGCCTTCCTTCACCTGACTATGGGGCTGTCACCTAGAAAATAAGGATGCCGGTAACAGTGGGTAGCCCTCCCACTGCTATGATGTAGCCCTGTGATTATTGCAGGCAAGAAGTCATGGCTCAGAGAGGCTAAGCAACTTCCCCAAGATCACACAGTCAGTGAGTGGCAGAACTGGGACCTGAACTCAGGTCTCCCTGACTCAAATCCATGCACTTGGTACCAGATTAGCGTTTGATGTGTACCTTCCTGGGGCAGAGCCCAGACAGATAAGTTTCAAAGGTCTGGCCTTTCTAGCCAAGCGTGCTGTTCGACAGCAGAAGGGAAGTCATGAATACCCGTCCAGGCCACGTTCTGCCCAGACCCCGGTCTCCAGGCTGCATGTGGACACTCAGCTAACCTCTCTGCCTCTTTCTCTGTGTCTGTCTGTGTCTGTCTGCCTCTGTCTGTGGAGGGAGACTCCTCCCTCTTCTCTTTCATCCTCTGGGTGTCTGTTCCTCTGACTCTGGCTCTCGCCTCCTCTCTGTCCTTGTTTTTTCTCCATGCCTCCGTCTCCCTGCCTGTGCCTACCCTGCTCTCTCCGCAGGACTCTCCGGCGGACATGGGGGTGGCCCTGGGCCCGGCCCTGCTGCTTACCTCACTCCTCGGGGCCTGGGCAGGGCTGGGCCCTGGGCAGGGAGAGCAGACTGTGACGGTGGCCGTGGTGTTTGGCAGCTCGGGGTCCCCGCAGGCCCAGGCCCGTACCCATCTCACCCCCCAGAGCTTCCTGGACTTGCCCCTGGAGATCCAGCCGCTGACCGTGGGCGTCAACAACACCAACCCCAGCAGTCTTCTCACCCAGATCTGCGGGCTCCTGGGGGCTGCCCGGGTCCATGGCATCGTCTTTGAGGACAACGTGGGCACTGAGGCCGTGGCCCAGATCCTGGACTTCATCTCCTCCCAGACCCACGTGCCGATCCTCAGCATCAGTGGGGGCTCTGCTGTGGTCCTCACCCCCAAGGTGCCCGTTCAAAGTCATGTCTTCCCATCCCTTGAGCTTGGAGCCAGGCTGGGGCTGGGTCTGTGGGCTGAGTCTGGGCCAGGTTGATGCTTGGGTCCCAGGAAGGTGGGATTGGGTGGGCCCAGCAAGCATGTGGGGACTGAGAGAGACATGGGTGAGGGAGGGGAAGGCTGTGGGAATGATGGTTCTATGTTCTGGAAGATAAACTTTCTGAGCTGCTTTCACATCACATTTGTGACTGGATGAGGGGTGGGCAGGTGGAAAACCCACCTCTGGTTCTGAGACAGCCCTGGCTCGCCTTCTCCCTGTTTTTCTGGCCTTCCTTGGTCAGGCTTCAGACCCAAGATCAAAGTGCCAGGCTGGGCATGGGATCTGAAGCAGCTGGCCTGCAGGCTAGAACTTGTGGGGGCAGGTCACGTCTGAGACCTGGGGGAGGCACGCCCTCACTGTCTGTCCTGGGGGGAGAAAGTTCTAAAGATACATTCACCTGCAGTCACAGCTGGGATCAGTGTCTGGAAGAAAAAACACGGGGTGCCTCGAGGGAGTCCAACAGGGCCCCTTCTGGGTCAGGGGCTGGTCAGAGAAGAAGATCTCTTGAGAAGTGACACCTAAAAAAAAAAAAAGAAGAAGTGACACCTAAGCTGAGACCTGGAGGATGAGGGGGCTTGACAAGTTGTGTGTGTGTGGGGTGGAGTGGGAGTGAGTGTCCTAGGCCAAGGGAGCAGTTCCAGGCAGTTCACAGTAGCGCAAATGCTCAGAGGCTAGAAGCAGCAGAGTATTTGAGGAATAGAGAGAAGCCTGGAGGGGGAGGTGAGGTCTCAACCACATGGGAAGACATTTGGGTTTTACCCTAAGAGAGTGAGCTGACGGTGTTGAGGGGAGAAACTGATCTATTTGCCTGTCTTTTATGCTTATATTTTTATTATGGGGAATTTTTAAGCATACATAAAAATAGAAGAGTTTAATGATCCCAGGTAACCCCCAGGCCGAACATGCCTTATCCTTACCCCCACCCACTTTCCCTTCTTCCGTATTATTTTGAAGCAAAACCCATATGTACTATTTATCTCATCCATAAACAGCTCAGTACACAACTCTAGACGATAGGACTTTACAAAGTAATAAAACCACCATACATCATCCCATCTATGAAACAATAAAAATCCCTTAACAGCAAAACACTTCCAGGCAGTGTTCAAATCTTCCCCCATTGTCTCATAAACGTCATAAATGTGTATGTTAAAGTCTGTTGACTTGAAGCAGGAGCCAAACTAGAGTCCCACATAGCGATCAGTTGGTACCACTTCCGAGTCTCCGTCTCAAGTCTCCTCTTCCACCTCTCTCTTTTTTCCTTGTAAAGTTGTTTGCTGAAGGGACTGGTTTGCTTGTCTTATACGGTTTTCATGGAGTTGCTTTTTTAAAAGATTGGGAGAGTCGCAGAGTGGTGAAATCGTGATGGGGCGGGGCGGCAGCAGGGAACCCACAGCTTGGAGAGGACTGGCCTAGTCCAGGCTAGATCTGGCGGGGCCAGGGCGCTTTGTGGTGGCCGAGGCAGGGGAGAGGAGGAACTTTCTCATCGCCAGGGCTCCCTAGAGGATGGAGCTTTCCCAGTTGCCTCTGGGCCTGACATTGTCTCTCAGCGCGGGTGACTCTCCACTCTCACAGTGCTGTAGAATAATACAGATGCCTAGTGTACCGTTTCTGAGAGGCCCATTCAGTTGTACGGCCCTAGGGGCTCTAGAGTTATCTGAAGTTTGTTGAAATACAGATCCCTGGGCGCCATCCTTAGAGAGTCTGACCCAGCAGGTGTGCATTGCCCCAGAGAATTTACATTTCCTACAAGCGCCCAGGTGACGCTGCTGCTGCCAGTCTGCGATCCAGACTTGGTCAGGCACCAGGGTTTTAAAAATGCTCTCCAGGGGATTATCATGGGCAGCAGAGGCTGAGAACTACGCGCAGGACCGGAGGGAGGGATGAAGGGATGCCGGGGTGCCCGGCATCTTCCGACGCAGAGGCGTGGGGGCGGGGTTAACCGAGGGGCGGGGTTTAACGCAGGGACGGGGCACGACCGCCCCCGCCCCGCTCAGGCCCCGCCCCCGTCCCGCAGGAACCGGGCTCCGCCTTCCTGCAGCTGGGCGTGTCCCTGGAGCAGCAGCTGCAGGTGCTGTTCAAGGTTCTGGAGGAGTACGACTGGAGCGCCTTCGCCGTGATCACCAGCCTGCACCCCGGCCACGCGCTCTTCCTCGAGGGCGTGCGCGCCGTCGCCGACGCCAGCTACCTGAGCTGGCGGCTGCTGGACGTGCTTACGCTGGAGCTGGGCCCTGGCGGGGCGCGCGCGCACACCCGGCGCCTGCTGCGCCAGCTCGACGCCCCCGTGCTGGTGGCCTACTGCTCGCGCGAGGAGGCCGAGGTGCTCTTCGCTGAGGCGGCGCAGGCTGGCCTGGTGGGGCCTGGGCACGTGTGGCTGGTGCCCAGCCTGGCGCTGGGCAGCACCGACATGCCCCCTGCCGCCTTCCCCGTGGGCCTCATCAGCGTCGTCACCGAGAGCTGGCGCCTCAGCCTGCGCCAGAAGGTCCGAGACGGCGTGGCCATCCTGGCCCTGGGCGCCCACGGCTACCGGCGCCAGCACGGCGCCCTGCCCGCCCCGGCTGGGGACTGCCGCGCCCACCCTGGGCCCCTCAGCCCTGCCCGGGAGGCCTTCTACAGGTAGGCACCTGCCCAGGGCATGGGCGTGAGTTTGGGCTTGCCTGTGACACCTCCCACGAGCTGTGTGAGCTGGGGCCGAGTGACCTCACCTCCCTGGGCCTTAGTTTCTTCATCTGAGAAAAGAGCGGGGCGTGAGAGTGTGGGGAGGACCTCGGGGGTCAACATAAGGAAACAGAGCAGTAAATACGCAAATGCTCCCTGGTCCTGGTGGTGGTGATGAGGCAGGAGATGGGGGAGGGAACGTGCGGGCCTGGGCCCTGCTGCAGGCAGGGCTCAGGGGGCACTGGCTTCTCCCCTCCCCGCAGGCACCTCCTGAATGTCACCTGGGAGGGCCGGGACTTTTCCTTCAGCCCTGGTGGGTACCTGGTCCAGCCCACCATGGTGGTGATTGCCCTCAACCGGCACCGCCTCTGGGAGATGGTGAGAAGGGGGTGAGCCCAGGGGCCCTCGGTATCTTTTCATTGTGTCCCCCCTCCTTGCCCCACAGCTGAGCAGAGAGTCCCATCTGCCCCTTATCCAGCCCCTCATCCTTCAGGTCTCAGCTGAAACGTCACCACTGAGAAGCCTCCAGGTCCCCCAGGGTGGGTGAGGCTCCTCTGCTCCAGGCTCCCACACCACCCTGGCCTCCTTCCACCATATAACTTATTAAGCACTCTTATTAAGCACTCCTGCCCTTGGAGGAGTAACTCACAGCCGTGTTGGCTAGATGGATGGAAAAAAATAGACTTTGGGGAGATCCTTGCTTATGAAAGAAGGTTTGCAAAGCATTAAGGGAGTAGAGAGGAGGGGCAGAAATTGATTCTGTCTTCAAAGGAGGAAACTGGAGAAGTTTTCCCAGAAGTTGGAACATTTGGCCTGGGCTATAGACACCACTCTTATGGCAGAAAGTGAAGAGGAACTAAAAAGCCTCTTGATGAAAGTGAAAGAGGAGAGTGAAAAAGTTGGCTTAAAGCTCAACATTCAGAAAACTAAGATCATGGCATCTGGTCCCATCAATTCATGGGAAATAGATGGGGAAACAGTGGAAACAGTGGCTGACTTTATTTTTCTGGGCTCCAAAATCACTGCAGATGGTGATTGCAGCCTTGAAATTAAAAGATGCTTACTCCTTGTAAGGAAAGTTATGACCAACCTAGATAGCATATTAAAAGGCAGAGACGTTACTTTGCCAACAAAGGTCCGTCTAGTCAAGGCTATGGTTTTTCTAGTGGTCATGTATGGATGTGAGAGTTGGACTGTGAAGAAAGCTGAATGCCAAAGAATTGATGCTTTTGAACTGTGGTGTTGGAGAAGACTCTTGAGAGTCCCTTGGACTGCAAGGAGATCCAACCAGTCCATCCTAAAGGAGATCAGTCCTGGGTGTTCATTGGAAAGACTGATGCTGAAGCTGAAACTCCAATACTTTGGTCACCTCATGCGAAGAGTTGACTTATTGGAAAAGACCCTGATGCTGGGAGGGATTGGGGGCAGGAGGAGAAGGGGACGACAGAGGATGAGATGGCTGGATGGCATCACTGACTTGATGGACATGAGTTTGAGTAAACTCCGGGAGTTGGTGATGGACAGGGAGGCCTGGCGTGCTGCGATTCATGGGGTCACAAAGAGTCGGACACGACTGAGCGACTGAACTGAACTGATAGACAGTTGAGTAGGAGCCCACCTGGAAGGGATACTAGTCTCATATAGACCAAGGGGAAGAAGGATGTGGAGCATTTTTAATCGATGTGTTCAGGGGTGTGGAAACTGTGGAAGAAGGAAGGGGTGATGGAGGGAAGTTGAACCTGAGTGTGAAGTTGAACCTGAGTGCTGGACTAAGGGCTTTGTGTGAGGGTCTGGGGAATGACGTGGAGAGACAGGCTCAGGTCTGGGCTTTAGGAAGACTCTCTGGGCCAGCAGCAGTGTGGACCAGAGGCCAGGGAGGCTGCAGGGAGGTCTTCCCTTCTGGGCATGCCCAGCCCTTTGCCCTGACTCTCCTGTTCTCCAAACTCTCTCACCCCAGGCCCTGCTCTGGCCTGTCCCAGGTGACCCTAGGAGTGGTGGGGGGATTCTTGGTCCTGGCAGGCTCCCCCTAAGAAGCCATACCTACAGGATGGGTGTAGTAGGGCTGAAGGTCCCAGGCTGAGGCCGGTCACCTTCTGCAGGTGGGGCGCTGGGACCACGGCATCCTCCACATGAAGTACCCCGTGTGGCCTCGCTACAGTGCCTCCCTGCAGCCTGTGGTGGACAGCCGGCACCTGACCGTGGCCACGCTGGAGGAGCGACCCTTTGTCATCGTGGAGAGCCCCGACCCTGGCACAGGCGGCTGCGTGCCCAACACTGTGCCCTGCCGCCGGCAGAGCAACCACAGCTTCAGGTCCGCCAGGACACACGGGCGCGGGGAGGGGGCGACGTGAGCTGTGCGCTGCTGAGGGATGGCGGGAGAGTGTGTCTCACGCTCGGGAGTCGGGGCAGGGCCCACACGCCAGGCTGCGAGAGCCGCTGGCTCTGACCCCCGCTGGTCTTCTTGGTGGCAGCAGTGGTGACGCAGCCCCCTACACCAAGCTCTGCTGTAAGGGCTTCTGCATCGACATCCTCAAGAAGCTGGCCAAGGTGGTCAAGTTCTCCTACGACCTGTACCTGGTGACCAACGGCAAGCATGGCAAACGGGTGCGCGGCGTGTGGAACGGCATGATCGGGGAGGTAGGCCGCCCCCAGGCCGCCTGAGCCCACCCGCCTGCCTGCCCGGCGCCCCCCGCCCCGACATCTGCCAGCCACCCCCAGATGGTCCGTTCAGTGTTTCCTCCTGTGCTGGGGATCCGTCGGGGTGAGACCCAGGCCCATCTCCCACGGGTCTCCGAGCTGGCATGGGTACTGTGTTGGCACCAGTGATGACTCCCGGGGGTAGAGCTCTGAGGACTCGGGTGGAGGTTGCTGGCCGAGAGGGCCAGCAGGGGAGAGGGAGCTCCTCCTCCGATCTGGGTCTGACCCTCAGGTGTACTACAAGCGGGCAGACATGGCCATCGGCTCCCTCACCATCAACGAGGAACGCTCCGAGATTGTGGACTTCTCCGTGCCCTTCGTGGAGACAGGCATCAGCGTGATGGTGGCCCGCAGCAACGGAACCGTCTCCCCCTCGGCCTTCCTGGGTGCGGCTCGCGGCGGGGTGGGGGGCGAGGGTGGTGCGGAGGGACCCCCAGGTGGATGTGTGGAGCCTGGGGTGGGCCCTTGGAGGGCAAGCACTGGGTGATAGGACCCTGTCCCAGGGCAGATGGAGAGGGGAAACCAAAGCTTGCTGGGGAGCGTGGTCTCCCCAGGGGTGGTGTCTCCCCTGGGGCTCCGCTGCTCTGAGAGTCAGAGACCCCCTCCACTCCGTCCAAGGGGCTGGTGACCATGTGGACCCACCTGCCTGCACCCAGGCCTCCTCTGAGCTGCCTCCCTCTGTTCACAGAGCCCTACAGTCCTGCTGTGTGGGTCATGATGTTTGTCATGTGCCTGACGGTCGTGGCCATCACTGTCTTCATGTTCGAGTACTTCAGCCCCGTCAGCTACAACCAGAACCTCACCAGCGGCAAGAGTAAGTTCCCACTTGGGCCTGGGAGGACGGAGCAGGCTTGGAGCTTCCTGGAGGGGTGGGCTCAGGACTATGGGTGGAGGGGTTGAGGGGGAGGTTAGAGTGTGAGAGGATGGGGCAGTGGGGTGGGGGGAGCCTTTCAGAGAATGCCCCCTGGGGGGGGGGGTTCCTGGCCTTCAGACAACATGCAGGGGCCCCATCAGATACAGGAGAGGGGGAAGCAAAGTGAGTTGATGTGCTCTGGGGTGGGGATGGCCAGGGATGGGGTTAGTGGAGACAGGAGCCGTGGACTCAGGTGGGCTGGACCTGATGCCCGCTGTGCCCCAGTGTCTGCCCTCTTGCCCCCAGGGTCGGGGGGCCCATCCTTCACCATTGGCAAGTCCGTGTGGCTGCTCTGGGCGCTGGTCTTCAACAACTCGGTGCCCATCGAGAACCCCCGGGGCACCACCAGCAAGATCATGGTGCTGGTGTGGGCCTTCTTTGCCGTCATCTTCCTTGCCAGCTACACTGCCAACCTGGCCGCCTTCATGATCCAGGAGCAGTACATCGACACCGTGTCCGGACTCAGTGATAAGAAGGTTCTGGAGCCCCTGCTCTTGGAGGGTGGCGGGGCGGGGGATGCCGCGGGCAGGCAGGCAGGGGCAGGCCTTGGGTGGGACGCAGGACAGCTGGAATCAGCAGAATCTGAACTGGAGGCGAGAGCAGGAAGAAGCCAGGGAGCCTGGGGAGGGGAGAGATGCTTTAGTCCGCTTACTATGTCTTGAGTGCATCTTTCCTTGTCCTGGCCTCCGTGTCCTCGTCTGTAAGACAGACCTGGCGCAGTCGGTCTCTAAGACAGTTCTGCCATTCCTGTGCAAGTCCAGGCTGTGGGGATGGGGTTGGGGGTGTTGGCGCCTGGAAGGTTGGAGGAAGGGTTAGGGATGCCGACAGCTGCCCTCTGCTCCCAGTTCCAGCGGCCACAGGATCAGTACCCACCCTTCCGCTTTGGCACCGTGCCCAACGGCAGCACGGAGCGGAACATCCGCAGCAACTACCGCGACATGCACACCCACATGGTCAAGTTCAACCAGCGCTCGGTGGAGGACGCGCTGACCAGCCTCAAGATGGGGTGGGTCTGCAGCCCTGCACCTCCCCTCTGACTGTCTCTACCCACATGTCTCCCCGAGAGACCCAAGGTGGGGACGGTGAGACTGGGTTGCCCTGTAGGACTCCTGGGGAGGGGCAGAGTGAGACAAAAATGGACAACCCACCAGAGCCCAGGGGCGCAGCTGTGGTACTGACCAGGGTTCAGCCTTGCCCCCAAGTGCTGGTTACGACCTTCTCAGGGTCTTCAGGGGCCTGGAGGGCAGAGAGGGTGGGTCCTCCAGGGGCAGAGAGCCCCCTGGCCTCTCTGAAGAGGAGGGAGGTGGGGTTCCCAAGCCGTGGGAGGGAGCTTCTCTGCATCCAGGACCCCAGGGAAGAGAAGGCTCTGCCCATTCCCCACCTCCCCCCGGGTGGTGGCCAGTGGGCTCACGTGGCCCAGATCCCCATCAGGCCCTGGGTTCGGTGCCCTGCACCTTGCTTGATCACTGGCCTGAGGGCTCAGCCTGTCCCCCAGGAAGCTGGATGCCTTCATCTATGACGCCGCTGTCCTCAACTACATGGCGGGCAAGGACGAGGGCTGCAAGCTGGTCACCATCGGCTCTGGCAAGGTCTTTGCCACCACCGGCTATGGCATCGCCATGCAGAAGGACTCCCACTGGAAGCGGGCCATAGACCTGGCGCTCCTACAGTTTCTGGGAGATGGTGGGTGCAGCCTCTGGTGGGGGCCGGGGTGGGTCCCGCGTGGTTGACAAAGCCCGTGGCTGGGACAGCTGCGTGGTGGCTGGTCAGCATCTCCACCGCTGTCCTCTGAGTGCCCAGCGCCCGCTGGCAGAGAGAGAGGCTCTGGGGGTGGGAGGCTGGCACAATAGTTGGGTAGGGGCATTAGGAACAACTGGAGGGAGACCTGAGTTGGCCACGAGGGAGCAGGGAATAGTTGGGGAGTCCCTGAAGGAGGGAGCTCAGGCCACACAGCGGGGGTGGGGTGGGGAGTCTGAACTCCTTTACTTTTTCCCAAGACCCCTCCCCTCCATTTCCTTTTTTTTTTTTTAAAAAAAAACACAGCTATCTTTTATTTATTATTTTGGCTGCACCTTGGGATATGTGAGATCTTAGTTCCCTGACCAGGGATTGAACCTGTGCCCCCTGCAGTGGAAGCATGGAGTCCTAATCACTGGACAGTCAGGGAATTCTCTCCATTCCCATCTTGAGATGATCTGGGGGTGGTGCCAAGAGCCAGCCTAATTCCAGAGCTCCGGCCCAGGCTGGCCTTGGTACTGAGAACTCACACCCGTGAGCGGTCCAGCTAGGCTGCTCCGAGACCCAGAGAGAGCTTTGAATTTAGCGTCCCAGTTAGATAAAGAAACTGGTTTTCCATCATTACTGCAGAGTAATCTGAGTGATACCAGTGAAGGTGTTTGCAGCCTCCTTGGGGGCCTAGGTCTTTTGTCTGTGTGTGCCCAGCTCTATGCCTGGCATGCAAGTGATCAATAAGTCTTTGACGAATAAATGAATGATAACATTTACCTAGTCAACAAGCCTTTACTGGGCATGTGGGAGGTAAGCGTGTCAGAGGCTGGCATTGCCCCCCCAGGTCCCACTCTGGTCTCCTCCGTCCTGCTTATTGATACCCTTCCCCCCATCCTCCCTGTAGGGCTGGATCCCTGTGTAGTCCTACAGGTGGGTGGTACCTTGGCCCCAGACCCCTCCTCACTCCAGGCATAGGTGAGTGCTGGAAGGGTCCTCCCTGAGCCAGATGTGCACCCACCCCCGCCCCCAGGGGAGACCCAGAAGCTGGAGACGGTGTGGCTCTCGGGGATCTGCCAGAATGAGAAGAACGAGGTGATGAGCAGCAAGCTGGACATCGACAACATGGCGGGCGTCTTCTATATGCTGCTTGTGGCCATGGGGCTGGCCCTGTTGGTCTTCGCCTGGGAGCACCTGGTTTACTGGAAGCTGCGCCACTCCGTGCCCAACACGTCCCGGCTGGACTTACTGCTGGCCTTCAGCAGGGTGGGTGTCCGCCCTGCCCCAGCCAGTCACCAACCCAGCTGGCTCCTGGCCCCTTTTACAGATGTAAAAAACTGAGGTCCAGAGAGGTGGCATGGCCTGCCAGCATCACGCAGCAGATGAGAAGCAGAGCCCTTCTCCAACAGGCAGGGCAGGACTCTGGAACCAGGCTGACCTGGGTCCAGAGCCCTCACTGCCATTTACAAGCCGTGTGAGTTTAAGAGGAGTTCATCTCTTGGCGCCTCAGAGCTTTTCTGTAAACGCTCCCAGCGGGACCTTATATAAGTAAGAGGCGCCTAACAAATGTTAGTTTCTTCCTGGGACTTAGAAATGCCTGAGTTGCTGGATCCCACCTGGGCGAAGGACGTGCGGCGTGGGGGCGGTCCGGGAGGGCAGGACGCGGCTCACGGCGGGTCTACCCCCTCCCTCCGCCCAGGGCATCTACAGCTGCTTCAGCGGCGTGCAGAGCCTTGCCAGTCCCGCGCGCCCGCCCAGCCCGGACCTCACCGCCGGCTCGGCCCAGGCCAGCGTGCTCAAGATGCTGCAGGCGGCGCGCGACATGGTGACCACGGCGGGGGTGAGCAGCTCCCTGGACCGCGCCACGCGCACCATCGAGAGCTGGGGCGGCTGTCGCCCTGCGCCCCCGCCGCCCGCCTGCCCCGGCCCGCGGCCGCCCACCCCGGGCCCTCCCCGCGAGCCGAGCCCCACGGGCTGGAGGCCGCCGGGCGAGGGCCGCGCCGCACTGGGGCGCAGGGCCGCGCAGCCCTCGGGCCGCCCCCCAACGCCCCGGCCCGCCCTCCCCGACGTCTCCCGGGCGTCGGTCCGGCGGGCCTGGGAGGCGCGGTGGCCGCTGCGGCCCGGGCGGCGCGGGCGGTGCTTCTCGGCCTCCGAGCGGTGTGCGCACCCGGAGCGTCCCCTGTCTCCCGAGCGCGGCCATTACAGCTCCTTCCCTCGCGCCGACCGGTGCGGACGCCCCTTCCTGCCGCTCTTCCCGGAGCCCCCGGAGCCCGAGGACCTGCCGCTGCTCGGGCCGCAGCAGCTGGCCCGGCGGGAGGCCCTCCTGCGCGCGGCATGGGCCCCGGGGTCGCGCCCGCGCCACGCTTCCCTGCCCAGCTCAGTGGCCGAAGCCTTCACTCGGCCCAGTTCTGGGCCCGCCCGCTGTGCCCGCACGGCCTGTGGGCGCTTGATACCCGCGCAGTCCATGCGGCTGCCGTCTTACCGCGAGGCCTGCCAGGACGGGCTGTGGGCCGGGCCCCCCGCCTGGCCGCACAGACAGCACGCCTGCCTCCACGCCCATGCCCACCTGCCGCTCTGCTGGGGGGTTGTCTGCCCTCACCTCCCACCCTGTGCTGCCCATGGCCCCTGGCTCCCTGGGGCCTGGGGGCCTCCAGGGCACAGGCACAGGACCCTGGGGCTGAGCCCAGAATACAGCGACAGTGGGGAACTGGAAGGGGTCAGCAGGGCGGCCTGTGGGACACACGACTTTCCGCGGCCTTGCACCTGGAGGCGGATCTCCAGCTTGGAGTCAGAAGTCTGAGGGCTCAGGTCCTCTGGTTCCTGTTCAGCTGGATCCTCTGCCTGGCGCTGCCAGCAGTTAGAGGGCAGGTGGTCTCCGGCCTTCCTGGCTTCCGTCTTGAAATCCAACTGAGTGACAGATGATACCTTCATGGTCAGTCCAGTGACCTCAGCGGCCGCAGTCCTGTTGCGGGTTGGGCTTCTGCTATCTTCTTATGCAAATCCCTTCCCACCTGGCCTGGAGTCACGGGGGGAGCAGTGGGGTCTCCCTCCCGTGCCATGAGCCAGTCCCTGGTCTTTGCTGCTGGGGGCTTGGTGTGGGAGGCATGGAAGCTGGAACTTGGGGTTGGGGCAGGGCTGACGTGTTTCTTGTTCCATCTGGCTGGAGTTTTTTTTCTCAGAGTGCTGGGACATTAAACCAACATTTTACAACCCACTGGCCCTGACTGCCTCATTCTGAATCCCCGGAGGGGGGCACAGGGCAGCCTTTAGGTGAGAGGAGCATCATGGGAGTATCCCAGGTGAGGTGCCTGGCTACAGCAGGTGGGCAGCTCCCTGGGTGGGAGTACCCAGGAAGTGAGGCTGAGCGAAGACTCCGGGCAGAAACCACTTGGTTTACAGTGTCAGCTCCCTCCCACCCTGGTGCCAAAAATGACAAGTGTGCTCAGCAGGGGGCTCTGGTGGTTGATGGATGGCATTCATCCTTCAGTGTCCTTGAAAACAAGGACTCACACCAGGGGGCTGTGGGTGCCCTGCCCTGCCAGGGGCCCTGATGGAAGCCTGACAATGTCATGGTGCAGATGGTGGGGGGAGGTCTGTCTGGGGAAACTGCTGGGCTTTCCTGGCCAGCGGTATTCGCTCCATGGTGGCTGTGCTGGGCTCAGACTGCCTGCTGGTTCTGGAAGCCTGGCACGGATGGGCTTCTGGGGTCAGGCACAGCTCAGCTTTGCTGGTGCCAGGACTTCTGGGGCTGGGAGGACCCCCAGGTCAGAGATTCTGTCCCACATCTCAATTCTTTGTCCTGCCTCGGGGGCTCCCAGCCCCACCTCCTTCCTCTGCCTCATGTCATTGGCTGTGAACCATCTAAGAAGATGGCTCTTGAGCACCGTTTTCAGTGCTTTCACATCTGTGATTACATTTAGCCCCACAATGACTGAAGCCAGAATTCTTCCTTCCATCCATTCTGCAAATGCCGGTGACAGCAGAGCTTTTCTGACCGTGAGCGTGTGAAGCCTGCGGCCTTTCTGTCCGGACAGTCTGGGTGAAGCAGGGTGGCAACTAACTCTGTGTCGTGGGGAGGAGGCCAGGGAGGGTGGTGCTGGATGCCAGCACCGTGTGCAGCCGCTGCCCCGGGCCCTCACCCTCACCACTCCTCCTTGCTGGCTTCTGGGAGGCTGGGCTCCCTCACAAGCCTCCAAATAGTCCACTGCCTGGGACTGGAGCCACGAAAACTGGAAATTTTTTTGGTTTGGCTTTAGGGGTAACAGCAGCTGAAATAGTAGAGTGGGGGAAATTTCTAATACCCCTCCACTCCCAGCTGGAGTGCCTGACCACCACCAGTTTAGGGGGCCCCCATCCATCAGAGTCAGTTTCACTTTCTCTGCCCCATGGCTTTTCACAGGTTCAGATCCAGAATCTGGGAGCTCCACAACAGGTGGTGAGTGTGGGTCGAAGTGAGTGCCAGAGGCCCGTGCCATGGAAGGGCACAGGCTGTGGAGGTGAGAGGGTTAAGCATTGGCCACCAGCCCCTGGATCTGAGCACCTGCCCCTGGATCTGAGCAGGCTGCAGTAGGTGAGGCTGGGAGGGGTTGCGAGGTCCAAGCTGCTCTCCGCTCCCTGCCCAAGATCATTAATAACCAAGAACTGGAAAGATAATTAAGAACCACATGTGGGGCTGAGCCTGCTGCTGGCTGGCTCTAAGGAGGGGCCTGTCCCGCGCCCAGGGCCAGGCTCCTGGCTGCCTGGCTCCTTGTCTAGGAATGTATTCTGGGGAGAAGCGAGTCTTAGGGGGGTGGGGGCAGGAAGGGTGCCTTCTGCAGGTTCAGATGCCTGCTTCCCCTCTGTGGGAGGACTAGAGAAGGTCCTCTGTGGTCCAGGGGAGGGCAGAAAGCCTGGCCAGGGGCTCAGGGAGCCGGCTGTGGGTGAGCCCAGCAAGGCCATGGTTATGTTCAGTCATCGTAAAGCACGGTATGACTGGGCAGCAAACAGCCGGCTGAACCCAGACACCCAAATGCTGTTTTTCTTTTGATGGGACACACGGGGAGGGAGGCATTTGGTCACGTCTCAGCTGCAGACATTTCCCATGGTCTCACTCTGCTCCCTCCCGCTGCCCTGGTCACCGCGTTTTTCTTCCTCTGTCTTAACTGAGGGGCTCATCCTCTACACCTCCTCTTTCCTGGGGCCCAAGTGGGGGGAAGAGGGCACGGAGCTTAGAGAGGGGTGGGCAAGATGGCTTCGGTCAGGATACCTGAGCTTTGGTTCCGTCTTGGCTCCAGAACTCCCCAGCCTGGGCTGAGTCTGGCGCTGTGAAGGGGGAAGGCTGCCCTTCAGTTTGCAGGGGAAGTTGGGGAGCCAGAGACTCCCCCCTCCCCAGAGCCCTGAAGAATTCAAGTGCATTTCCTGTTTCTGAATTGTGGCAGGCAACTGCCAACAAGAAGACACTTGACTCACTAGGCGGCTGTGAAACCAACTAGGTGCCTGAGGACCCAGACCAGGGGTCTTTGATGAGTCTAGAGGGACATGGCTACATGTGCAGTATGTCTGGTGAGGACAAGGGAACTGGGAGTCAGTACACCGTAAGAGCTTTCTGAGCACTTCTGTGCCAGGCGCTAAGCTCAGGACTTCAGCTCCCATACGGGTCAGGGATGCAGGTAAAGGACAGGAGGAGAGCTTGGGGGTTGCTGCCTGCAAGTGGCAGGTCCGATTTCTTGGTCTCCACTCAACCTGCAAGTTATGCCGCTAAGGTCCACAAGGGGAGTGCCCAGTGCCATGCCTGGAACACACCAGGCACTCAGGAGATGTCACTTCCCCCTTTGTGCAGTCTACACCACGAGTCCCAGGCCCGGGGAGGCGGGATCCTACAGCTCTCACCTGCAGCTCTGGATCCTGGTTTTGGAAGAATTAGGGGTGGGGTCTCTCAAGAGGTGTGGTTTCAGCCTTCACTGGCCCAGGGCCATACACACTGCTGGCTCTCCCCACTGGGCTGGTTCCCGGGAGGTGGGGGCTGCCCCTGCCCTCCCCCACCCTGACACTGGCCTCTGCCTGTTGCTGAGGCTGCTCCTGGCCCCCGTTTTGGCAAGAACAGCTGTGTGGCTGAGGGCCTGGCAAGGTGCCTGCTGCCCACCCCCACCACTTGGCAGTGCCTCCTGGCCTGTCACCTGCCATATGCCCCATCTGTAAGCCCGCAGTCGCCTCTCTGGCCTCAGGTGAGGGCATAGCCAGGAGCTGCTGGCACGAGGCTCAGCACTTTTGCAGGGAACAGACAGAGTAGGCTGACTCCCACCTTGACCTGGCCTGCCCTCGGGGCCAGTCTGGGGCAGGCAGGGCAGGTGAATGGCATAGGGTTGGGGCCACTGAGTTTATGTTCTCCTCCTCAGCAACAACTTGAACCTGAGCCAGGTTGGGCTGGCATCCTCTTCTAGCTTCCCCACCACCGGCCCCAGGGCCGTCTGTAGACTAGAAGCCATCACCCCACTTGCCCACCTCCCTAAGCGGGTGTCAACACAGCCGAACGTGCTGGATGGGCAAGGTGAGCACCTGGGGACCGGCCAGCTGTCAGGCCCTCGGCCCCCCTCCCCCGCGGCCATCAGCAGCAGAGAGGGTGCTGACCCCATCTGACCTCCAGCAGGACAGACGCTAGGCAAACAGCAAGGAGCAAAGGAGCCAGACCGGCAGGGGTGAAGGGCCCTGGTTTGCCATCAGTGACGTGGTCACCTCGGGCCACTTCCTTCCGGGACTGTGGCTGCCCGACTCTGTGGCTGTCAGCTCCAGATTGCCACATAAATCAACCTGGCTTTATGATGCTAATAAATTTGTGTACAAAATTTGGTTCGGAGCCTGAGGCGGCAGAATGGTTTGATTCGCTTTGTCCTTAAGCAAGAGGGAATGTAATTGGAGAAGGGTAAGCACAGATGTTTTAATTGACTTTTCAGCAAAACAGCTGGGCAGCCCCCAGGGAGGGGCCCAGCCCCAGGGGTCGGGGTCACCGTGGACACTCCCTGGCCTCGCCCACCCCGCAAGGCCTCCTGGGAGGCAGCTGCAACAGCGAACGGGGAAGGGGCATCTTTCCAGGAGGGTGGAAGATAACGCGACTCTGGAAGAGCTGTGAGGACGGAAGACGTGCGACAAGAGTGAGAAAGCAGGTCGCTGCCTATTGAGACACGGTATTCTCACAGGCCAGGGGCTGCCCCCCGGCGCCTGAAGGGAGGGCTGGGACCACCCGCGGACTCCCCGTTTTCTCGAAAAGCCCGTGTCCCCCTCCCCGAGACCACCGTGGGCCTCAGAAGACCTGGCGTCCACGCTCTGTCCAAAGTTTGAAGACAGTTGAGATGCTCGGGGATGGAGGGGGCGGGGAGCAGGCTTGCAGGGATTCCCTGGAGAGCCGAGCAAGGCACTGAGATCAAAGGATGGAGGGGCAGGGACCCCACCCCAGAGGCTGCTCCTGTCCACTGCTCTTGGCTCCGCGGACAGGAGGATTTGGCCCAGGGCCGGGGGCTCGCCAGGGAGGGCCAGGAGGAGCCCCCAGGTCCTGAAGCAGGAGAAGGCACGTTGAAAATGCAGTTCATTCGAGTCACCCGTGTCTCCAAGGGAGGCTGGCCCAACAGGTGCATGCATGATTGTGTGTGGGGGTGGGTACCACGTGGAGCTGGTGAGGTGCCCAGGGAACCTGGCCCTCCTTCCATGGGAAGGGTGAGCAGGGCCCTATCTCACCCCACGGCGCCCAAGGGACGTGGAGACCATGAACATCGGGCCGTACCCACAGCCCGGCTCGAAAGGGAGCCCCTGTTAGTGTTGGAGGGGGGACAGGGACATCGGGGGGCAGGCCCGACCTCTCTTACGGGGTGGGAACCATGGGCTACATGCCTGGGGTGCTCCCAACCATGGTGGTGACAGCCGGGGGTCGCTCCCCTCCAGTGCCCCTTGTACCCTGTCCCCTGCCCCCCCAGCCCTGGCACTGCAGGAGGCCCACGGATCCCTTCCGGGGATGTGTGGGCTGCTATGTCTGCGAGGAAAGGGCTGCTTCCGCCCGCTGCTCCGGAGTCATCGTGGACTCGGGCCCGGGACAGGTGTTGGCGCCCTCCGTGCGGCCCTCACTGCTCTGGTCTGGGGCCCCTGGGGCCAATTAGCACGTCTGGTCCTTGTCACTGGCTGGCCTGGCGCTCCCCTAGGAGAGGTGCTTGGCACCTCCAGGCCTGGCGGGAAGGTGAGCCCTGCCAGGCCCAGTGGGGAGGAGGCGACGGGCCTGGGCTTGCCCTGATGGAGCAGGTTTCCCAGACAAAGATGCAGGATGGGCTGGGAGAGAGGGTGGGGGTCTGGTATAAATAGTGGCAGTGCCAGCACTGCATCTCCACTCTCCAAAGCAGAGGACTCAATTCCAGTAACCAGTCCTAGAACCTGGGAGCAGCCGCGTGGCCCTGTTGTGGGACTCGGCTGGCTGGGGGCAGCCCCAGGCAAGAGGACCTGGAGGAGAGTGACCCCAGGTGCAGGCTGTGTGGAATCCTGTGTGGGGAGAAGGTCCCCTCCAAGAGCCCGGGTCTTGCCTGCCCCGCTGAGCCCAGGGAGGCAACGCGCTCTGGGCTCTGCCAGTGGGGGGCCCCTACCCCGCGGGTCACCAGACACGTCCTGCCGTCAGAGCTTGGTCTCACTGAGGACGATGTTGGCGGTGACAAAGAAGAAGCAGGAGAAAGCCCAGAGCAGCACGAAGCCCACCCAGAAGGTGTGGCGGAAGGGGGACCTGTGCGTGTTGACGGTCCCGTAGCCAAAGGCCAGCTGGGTGTCCTTGCGGCAGAGGTACACCAGGAAGGCCGGGATGACGTACTGGATGCCTGTGCCCGCGTAGGCCCCCGTGATGCCCACCAGGGACTCCAGGTCGTGGGTGCAGAAGGCCACCAGGACGGGGGGCAGCAGGGTGATGGTGGGGAACACCACGCGGTCCACAACCCAGGGGTACGTGCCCCCTTCGCGGTGGAAGAGCGTCTTCCAGTTGTTGCGGAGGGTCACGGCGATGATGGGGAAGTTGGTGCTGATGGTGAAGACGGGGAAGAGGCCCAGGAAGAGGCGCACGGCGGCCAGGCCCACCACGTCGCAGCGCGCGAAATTGAGGGTGTACATGTCCAGGAGGCTGTCGCCGCGGAAGCAGAAGATGGCGGTGAAGGAGAGGAGCCCGTAGAACGCCAGGATGAGCACATAGTCCAGTAGGACCAGGCGCGCGAGGTGGCGCTTGGAGGAGACGGGGGTGAGGAGCGACGGCAGGGAGTGCTGGCACATGAAGGAGTAGACGCACACGCCCAGCAGGTTCCGGATGCCCGAGAGGTCAGCCAGCGGCGGGCGCCCCTCCCCGCGCCCGTGCGCGATGCGCACCAGGGCCAGCACGATCATGATGGCGAAAGCTGGAAGACAGGACGGGGGTCAGGCAGGCAGAGAGGAGGGGCAGACCCACCCGGGCCCGTCTGGGGCCTGGGGGCAGCGACCGCAGGACCCGAGCCCCGAGGGAAAGCACATTAAAATTTCCAAGGCTGTGAGTCATCCTCAGGGGGCCTGCCAGCGGTGGCTGCTGCTGTTGGGGACATCCCGCCCACTCCCCCCACCCGAAGGTCCAGAAAGGTGTCGGCGGGGGGTGGGGGGTTGCTTGGCACGGCAGGAGGGCGATCAGCAGAGTAGCCGCGCTACTGGAGTGCAGTCTCCCTTACTGGCCCCAGAGCTCTGGGGTGGGGGGGTGTTTCCTGCCAGCTTCTTGGCAGAGAGCAGGCCTGGAGCAGGGTTCTGGTTGCTCTTCTTCCTTTGGTTTAAAGACTGCGTTGTCTGAGGATTGAGGGGAAGAGGGGGTGGTGGAGGGCACAGAGCACTTGGGAGGAGACGTCCTCCTGGGTGAGGAGCGGGTGGGGGGGAACGGGTGGTACCCAGAGTCACTCGAGGCCAGAAACACACCGGGGACCAATGCTGGGGGGAGCTGAGGCCAGGGCTGGAGGCCAAGGCTGGGTGGCTCTGTTCTCCTGGACAGGTAGGGGGCAGGAAGCAACTCTGCCCCGGTTGTGCTGCAGAAAGGGAAGGGGATCGGGGACCCTGTTGACAGCAGACAGAGCTCCGGGCTGGCGGCGCTCTTAGAGAGGCCCTCCTGCTGGCCTCACACCCTGAGCCGCTGCTCCTGAGCGTCAGCGCCTGGAAGACAGACGCACTTGCAGATCCTGTGGACGCCGAAGACTCTGGCTTCCCGAATCTGTTATCCAGAGTTCCCAGAACTGCCACCATTAGGCGCTCCGCACAAGAGACCCCCGGCGTTCCTGTCTCGGGTGCCAGAGCAGACACCCCTGCTGTCTCTGCTCAGACCAGGCCTGACAGCCCCTCCAGCCTGGGCCCCCACCGCTCAGGTAAAGCTCACCGTGACACCTGACATTTCCCGGGTAGTGATGCAAGCGATGGTGAAGGGACAGTGGCTGAAGAGCCTGGCTGCTGGCCACGTGGCTCCTGCCTGCCAGGCCATCGCAGGCTCGGGGCTCCCCCCAGGTGGGAGGCTGGGGATCTCCCCACGGTGCCCTTCAGGCCAGATAACACCTTCCGCGCCCCGGAAGGGAGCCCTTTCTCTGAGGACGCCCGGGAAGCCAGACTGCTGTCTGCCCACAGTGAACTTGGGAGCAGGACGGATAGAACTGTCATCTATTACTTTTAATCGGAGCTGCCAACACCGCTGGGCACTAGTCGGGAGGAGGGGAGCTAGGCAACAGGCCGTGGAAATTGCCAATAAAGATGATTTGTTTCTGAGGCTCTCAGCTGCACCCGTCCCTGCTGCTCCCAATTCCGGGGGACCCACAACTGAGGGCATCAGAGGTCCTGCCAGCGCTGGTCAGTCAAGGGGAAGCGGCGACCCAGTTCCCCCCTCGGGGACACCCGAGACCCCGGTGGTCTGGCTTGTCTGTTTTCTCTGGGTGGGTGCAGCATGGGGGGGCGGGTCAGAGATCTGCGTAGGAGAGCCGCATCCAGAAAGTGTGCTGGGGTGATGTGATGGCGGGGGGTGGCAGACCCAGGGGAAAGGCTTGGCAGGGTGGAGGTGGAGTCCGCCACGTGCCAGGGTCTCCCGGGCTTCCATGGTGGCTGAGTGGTAAAGAATCCTCCTGCAGTGCAAGAGCCACAGGAGACACGGGTTCGATCCCTGGTTCCCCTGGAGGGGGGCATGCTAACCCGCTCCAGCATTCTTGCCTGGAGAATCCAATGGACAGAGGAGCCTGGTGGGCTACAGTCCATGGGGTCACAGAGAGTGGGACACAACTAAAGTGACTTAGCACGCAGGCAGGGAGTCTGTCCTGGGCCAGAAAGGGTTACGAAGCAGAGCTGAGCGGGTGGGGTGGCTACAGCTGGCCCTGGGCCCACCTGGTGATTAGCTAGTCACAGGCTGCAGCTGACAGTTCTGCTAGCGGAAGTAGGCCACCTGAGGCGGGCAGAGGCCAAGGGGGGAGCTCAGCCCCGCTGCACCACCGCCCGAGTGCCTGGTGGTGACCTGGCACTACTCCTGGCCCAGGCCGAGGCTGGCGCGTGCTGTGAAAGAGGCACGTGGAGAACCCTCCAGCGCTCTGCTGAACTTGGCCGAGGGGCCCTGGGTCTGGTGGGCGTGCAGGAGGCAGGAGAAGCTGGCTGTTTGGACGTGAGCCTATCCCTGCTCCCTGCAGCTAGGAGGCTGGCTGGCGTGTCTCTACTCATCTTCCTCCTCGGCTCTAAGTCTCCAAGACGTGATAAGGAACACAGGCAGAAACTGGCTTGCTGACTTCAGAACGAGCTACCTGGTTGGTCCTGATGGGTGGCTCTGACCTTGAGGGGTCATGGCACCAGGGGTGCGAGGCCCAACTTCCCCAGAGCCGCCTGGTCCTGCCCTCGGGACCACACGCCTTCCCTCCGGGCCCTCCCCTCCCCTGGGGCTGCCAGAGGAGCAGAGTTCAACAGCTGTCTTCTAGATTGATTGTCCCGTCCCTGGGAGGTGGCTGCTCCAAAAACTCATCGGGTCTGACCGTAAATCAAGATGAAACGAGGGTGACAGGTTGTGAGCCACGGCCGTGGCCGGGAAGCGCGGTGGAGTGCGGGGCTCTGAACTCACACAGGATGCCCAGGGTTCGGGCGCGGCCACTGACAGCTCGCGCCCCAGGGTTGCAGCCACGTGGGAGGGGGGATGGGGTAGCGGGCATCCTGACGTCCAGGTAGGCAGAACCTGCAGTTCCCCAGGGTACGCATGGCAGGCTGGGCTTCTCTCCGAGCCTCACAGGCTGTGTTCAGAGAGCCCACATGATGCCTGGGGTCGCAGCCCATATCCGTCCACTTCCATCTGCGTCCCACACCAGGAGTCCTGCTCCAAGGAGTGGGGAGGAGGTGCGGCGAGTTGCTGGGGAGGCGGCCCTGGGGGTGGGGGGAGCAGCTGGGGGCCTGACACACGGCGCCCGAGTAGTGGCTGTCGGCCTCGGAAGGGGCAGCTGCAGGGTGACAAGCAGGGTCAGGAGGCTTCTCCTTTAATATCTGCGGCACCAGCCCAGGGGAAAAACAACCGAGCCTGTTTTGTATGAACAAGGGGGCTCACCGGGACCATTTATTCATTCATTCATTTAGCGGTGATGTCCTGAGGGTCCCCTGTGCCGATAACTATTCTGGGCATCTGCGGATGGTGCCCTGTGCCAACAGCAACGGTCCTAGTCCTTCTAGACCCTACAGTCCAGGGGGCCCACCAGGCGGAACTTATAGGGGAGAGATGACAACAAAAGAAAGGACCAGCTAACAGCCATGTGGGTTACGGTGGGGAGGTGGGGAGAGCCCGGTCTCAGGAGGTCCAAGTCAGGAGGTCACAGAGGGGAACCAGGCACCAAAGTCACTTCGGAAGAACCCGCTGGGCTGCCCCCGTCGCGGTGCAGGAGGGGAGGGTCAGCCCGAAGGGAGCGGGGACGGGATCAGGGCCCCTGGACGTCACTTGCTGCCATGCCCTGTTCCACCCTCAGAGTACTGATCCACCTTGAGCCCCTCCTGCACTGCCTCGGGAGAGAGACAAGGCAGAGAGACAGACAGGAGCGGGAGGCAGGTCCTAAGCTCTGTACAGATCCTGAGACCTGAGCGGGCAGCTTGGAGGAGACACCTCCCTGATTCCTCTTCTGAGGAGGTCAGGTTGAAAGTAACATCTACACCAGGACGGGCCCTCCGGCTCAGGCACGTCCAGTTGGCAGTTGCAGCTCAGTGGGGTCACGTCGTTGCCAGCTTTCCCTCCTGGGGACGTTACAGGCCTCAAGTATGGTGGTCAAGGTAAAATCTTATACCAAGACGCAGGCTCACGGCAGTTAACAAGCCGTCAGCGAGGCCCCTAGGGTGCTCCGCCGAGAAACGCCCCTCGGTCACCTGCCCTGATTTGCACATGACACTTACGAGACACGGGGCTGAGCTGTGAAACAGGGCTGTCTTTAAAAAGCCCAAGGAAAGGTGAGCTCTCAGTTGCCTGGGAGGCCTGCCCTGCAGGGGGAGGGAACGTTTCGAAAGTGGCCTCTGGTCCTGGGTCACCGAGTCAGAGGGACGTGTCGGTAAAAGTTCAAGATAGAACAGAGCTCCTCTGGAAGGTGGCCCAGCCCTGACCCCTGCTGTCTCCTCTGCGGGCCCTGGAAGGAACACAGCTGTCACGGGAGGAGAGGGGACATGTGTCCACTAAGGCCAGGTCCCTCATCCTTGACCCCGGAGCACACAAACATGAGGAGCCACGACCGAGAGCCAAGGGTGAAGGCGATGGACTCCTTCCAGCGGTGCCCCGGGCGGGGGCCGAGCCGGCAGCCCAGCCCCTCCCTGCGGGCCAGCGCTGTGCGGTGCGTTGCCCGGCAGGGGCCTGATGCTGCCTCCCTCCTTGAGCTCTGGGCCTGGCCCCAGATGCCGCCCCCCACACACCCTGCAGCTCTCAGAGCCCGGCGAGTGGCTCCACTCCCACATGTGTGAGGCGCAGGCCGTCCGTCAAGGCGGCTGTTGGGGGGACGGCGCCCTCCTCTCCAAGCGGGGAACCAGCGTGCCATGGCTGATTACGAATGGCCGTGGATGCCCAGCCCAGCTCGGGCACCGGCGCTCCAGGTGGGGAGCTGGGTCCCGGAGAGAATCCAGCTTCCTCCTTCAACCCCCAGTGCCCTTGGAGGTTGGGTCATCCGAGCTGGGCTGCCCCCAGCCCCCAACCCTGAGACTCAGGAGGGCTGGGAGGAGCTGATGGGGTAACGTCAGCCTGAGCTGAGAACACTGAAGATCAAGCAGTTTCTCGGCCCTAGTGGCTGGGCAATTGTTCCTTATAGGATAGGACTGGCTGGGAACAGAGAGCCACTGGGCAGGTTGCCAGGATACGCAGGTCAGGGGTGTGAGTGGCAGCTCAGCCTGCAAAGCTCTAACCCCTCGGAGAGAA